CCGTATCAACCCTCAACCAATATAATCCCTCGAGCAGAGCTCTTGAAAAAGCCATATGATATTCTCTATGTATCACTACAATATAATAGTTATTACGGTGATGTTGAACTCCCTGTCATTTATTCATTATCCACACACGAACTTGTCTCAAAAAAAAATATATCCCTGTACATTAACCTCACTTTCAGGTATACAGATGTGATTTTTTTTTCTGAGACAAGTGCTTGTGACCATCCAAAAGAACTTGCGGTCATCCGATGTTCAGTACTTCAGTACTTTGATTATTTTAAGATCATTACATTCAAGGTCAAGATCACAGTTACTAGTCTAGGAAGGAATTGAAACTTTTGAACAAAAGGGACAGAAAATGTATATTTTACACTGCATTACCATACTAAACATGACATAACATGAATGAACAAAAAGCTTGGCTCTGTGATGAGGGAGAGAATATTGAATGTATGCTTGTTTTGACTCACACTATTTTTTTATGGTTTTCATGTTTTTAGGGGGTGAGTGAGAAAGATTTATTACCCTCTTCATTCACCATGAAAATTACAATTTCAGTATATTTTTGGCTTATATCCTTCTACTCAATATTCTTCAAAGTAAGAGAGTAGTAGTCTGACTATCAGTAATTACACTCTTTAATTATATGGAAGACAACTATGCCATTATACCACTAAGCTGTTGCTGGCTAGAAATAAGTTTATGACATTGGGTATTGGGAGCTTGTTCACTTAGATTCTTTGATTATTTTTGTTTAGGAAGTTGACTAATTTTGTTTGAACGTACACTTTAAAAATATTACCCAGAATGCATTAGATCTTGAAATTGTAAATTTTAGGCAAAGAATGTAATAAGATAAACAAAAGGATTTCCTATCAAATCATTCATAGTTGAAACATATTGTGAACTATTTACTTGTCACATAATAAACATGAACAATCTTCCTGATGAATGCATTCAGTTCAACCAAACTGAAATAACAAAGTAATATCCAAGTCGTAGTAAGATTATTTTTTGATGATATGCAATTTTTCTAAGGAAAAGTACAAAAAATAAAATCTGACATCAATAAGAATTTCATATTTATAACTAGAAAACATATTGAGAAAAAGTTACTGAAATCTGCAGAATTACCTGATAACTTTTTATCCCCCCTTTTCAACTACAGAAAGAAGTTTTGAAGAAATGTCAAAATTGTGAGCTCACCTTCCTAAAGTAGGCTTGTTATTTATGACCTTCACTGATCCTTCGTTGAGCATCTTCCAAAAGCAGTAGTGGCATCAACACCCATCATCTGACATGAAGTCCAAAAGAAAATATTTAACTAAAGTCTATGATGGTTCCTTTTAGGTCATTAAATAATCCACTAGATGACTGGATTTTATGGCTTATACTATGATAAATTTTGTCATGGGATCAACACATGGGTTTAGAAATAGAGTTTTTTGAGCCATAAACAATATCTTTACCAAATTGAAAGACACATTGATTTTAAAGTTATAGGTCAAGGTCACAGCAGCACAGAAATTTAGGATTTGTTTTCTTCAGATGATTTCTTTGAACCATGTCCAACTTTTATTTATCTTGGTTTCATTTTGCCCCATGGGATGAAAACGACTCCTATCGATGTTGAGGTCATAAGGTCAAAGGTCAAGGTCACAGAAGCAATTGGAAGACTGAATTTTTTTTAATAAAAACTTGGGATTCTGGATGATATCTTTTGAGTCATATGTCAAAACAAAGCTTGTAATGACCCTTCACAAGATAAATACCTCTATTTAATGATTTTTTGGTTAGTAGTTCAAAGGTCAATATCGTCATGCCTACAAAGATACTGAAATTGAGTGGGAAATTTTGTTTCCACATAATATTTTGGAGCCATAAATCAGATCTTAACCCATCTTTGGAACAAAGGTAAATTTGGGTTAACTTAAGTAAACTACCCTGATATTAGTTTTGAAGTCAATAGGTCAAGTGTCAATGTCACAGCAGCAATTGATAGATAGACATGTGGACACATTTTGGTTTTCAAATGCCATCTTCTGAATCATATGACCATTTTTCACCAAATGAAGCTTGAAAATGACCCTTGGATAGAACAAGACTAATTTTGATTTTTGGGTCAGTGGGTAATACCGGTAGTTCAAGGCCACAGTATTGCAAGTTTATTGTCAGTAAAGGATAATTTAATCCCAAAGACATGGCTCAGGGCTTAGATACTGGCTCCAATTTAAAGAAGGTTAATAGTTATTTAGAATAGATACTTGCTAATCAGCATTCTTCACATTAACCACAAGCCCTATGGCAAAGGCCAGTATAAATGTTGTCAGACCACTAAAATGTTCCTAAAAAGAGGCCTCATAAGCCATATGAATTTAAAGAAATTTCATGAACGAATAGTTTTTCATTCTTGTTTGTCAAAAAGTTTTTGATAAAGACTGCATCAGTAAAAATTAAAATGGTAATTTTTCTTAAAAGTTGTGTAGAAGTGCTGTCTCAAAGTTAACCTCATGTCTCCTTTTATTCATAATAACTCCATGTTTCAAAAATAAATATGTATTATTGAAATTATATCACATACAGTTGTAGATAACCACTGTAGCATAATCAGTCAAAATAAAATTTAATAAGAATAATTATAAGAGATAAGAATAATTATACGAGCAATGTGTATTTTAACAATGCCAGAGTTTTATCAACAACTTTTGTCATTACCCGACCATTACTGTCAGTTTCATTGCATGTAAATGAAAATTAAACTTTTTTTGTGACAAGCCAGTCTTATTGTCATTACTGCTAAATTCATGTCAAATAAAAATAAAGTATTATTCAGTATTTGCTAGTGAAATCTGATATATTTCTTCCCTATCTTAATGACATTTTATATCTCAGAAAATGTTACAATTGAGGCAATAGAAATACTTTTGATTGAAAATTATGATGTTTGAGAAAGTACATTAATTTTCTTTACTCCGCGATTAAGGAAGTATATTAATTACCAGTGTAAGTTTCTTTACACCGTGATTAAGGAAGTACCAGTGTAAGTTTCTTTACACCTTGATTAAGGAAGTACCAGTGTTTGTTTCTTTACACCGTGATTAAGGAAGTACAAGTGTAAGCTTCTTTACACCGTGATTAAGGAAGTACCAGTGTAAGGAGGGGGGTGCCCCGGTGTGCCCAGGCCCCCCCTTATGGAGCTTCATTTATGGTTAATTCAGACTTTTTACCGGTTCCACTACAAATTTTTCAAAATCCTGGATCCTCATCTTAAGTAAAACAGAACACGGACAAGGTTTAACAATAAGGCATTTTAAACCCACAGTTATAGCAGTTTGGACCAATAAAATGTATAGAATTCATAAATACATGTTTTTCTTTTAGTTTGACTGAATACAGACTTGCTAGATGTTGGTTAATGGTTTTTTTACCTGGAAAAGGAGGTTAAGACAAGTAGCGTCAATTGAAAACCTTCACCTATAATATACATCTGTTCCCTGACAAAACATGATGAATGTTCACACAGACTTAAACTGTCTGCCATCATATTATTCAGCATTACAAGGAACAGTATATATTTGCCATATACTAGCAATGTAATGCTCAGTAGGTTGAAAAAATATTCATAAATCAATTTGATCCCATAAGTGGAATTCCTGTGCAACACCGTGATTATAAAAAAAAATCTGTTTAAATATGACCATTATGAAAAATGACTATGTTTTAAGAAGATCTATGTTTGGTTTGAAGGGTATGTTTCCTCTGCTTTACCATTCACTGTTGTTTAAGTTTAACCAGAAAAAGTAATTATACCTGTATAATCCAAACAATCCAAAGATAAAAAATAATTAAAAAAAAATTCTCACTTCCTACATCTAAAGTATTGTTATGTCGAATCTATTATTAGGTCAAGTACGTGAGCTCTCACTTGTTGTCAGTGTTTATTCCCCTCATCCGTTAATAACTTTTTGTTGATTCTTTTCCTCAGGAATGACTTCAATACTTTGAGTCAATCTTTTTCTCATTATCCTTTAGGGGCTTACTTTCATTTTGTTTTTTATCAGATAACTCCCATCACCCAGTTCAGATGAACTATGTAAAAAATACACCCACTGGACGTTAAGCAACCAACAATCAACCAACCAACAATCAATCAATCAATCAATCAATCAATCAATCAATTAATTTTACACCCTAGTATAAAATTGAGTAAAGGAATAATTCATAAGAAAGAAAGAAATTTGTTATCTTGTGTAATTAAGGGTATACAGAATTTTACAACCATCACCAAACTTCATATAACAAAGATATCGTTACAGCATGGCAGAGATAAAATCCTACTAATGGCCATGTTCTTGTAAATGAGACAGTCTAGGTTTTCTTTTAATACATGGTAATTGAATTTATTCTGTCATTTATCTGATAGATGTAAGTGTATTAAATGCCAATAGATTTTTTATTAATTTTAACATTTGAAAAACATATATATACATAGATTTTGAAGGTATAGAACCACTAATTCGGGCCCGGTCAGAAAGAACATACTAGAAAGTAGTACATATATTGTAAACAAAATAGTTCCTACGCATAGCTGCAACTTTGTCAATAAGTAAAATATTTGGGTAAATTTGGTATCAAATGAAAGCTTAAGTACTTGGGATCACTGTAGGCCCCTTGTTGAAAATTTATTTTGAATAATAAAAAAAAATATGATAAATTATAATAGGAGGGCACATTTGCCCTGTTGTTCAGATCGGAAGTACCTGACTTTGTACTACCAAACTTCTGGGAACCAGTGTGCTCTAATATGTTGAATTTTTCAGCACAAACCAGGATAAGGTATAGTTTTGACATGAAATGACTGCCACTTTATTTGAACTTAAGGCAAAGTAGCCATTAATGCTTAAAATTGCAGAATTTAACATAGAAAGCAATGGGGCTATGAATTAGTGGTTTTATTCCTTAAAGATGTTATGTTATTTATTTTTTTTCAGATCACTACATCTCTGTGTTACAGTGTCAGTTTAAATGTGAGAGGAAGTTGAGCATTCTCTTTAAAGATTATCTGCCAGATTTTGTTGGACAGCATTATAATTTTCTACAATATGCATATCACAAAAGTGAGTTTTGTTACTGTAATAGTTTAGTTATGTTATAATTCCCTCCCTTCAGAATTTTATGCACAGGCAGTTTCTGTAAAGGTCATACAGATATATGCATCAGAAATCAGAATGTGCATTTTGTCTATTCTTTAAAAATCGCAATAGTAAATGCACACATTAATATCTGAATTTACAATATTATGTTACAAATAAACCTAATTTTGGCAGATAAGGACACTTGTTCAATTTTATTAATAAAGTGCCATGGCAATGCAAATGCTTAAATGGAAATGTGGGTTATGTGTCACTTAGACAGCAACTCAACATGAAAAATAACCAAAAGACATCTAGAGGGCAATATACATTATTCAACAATAGACAACTGTCAATACAATATATATGCCAAGCTATAAATTGTCAAGAGTCTATGGAATGTGCCCATAGAACAAAACATTAAGGTGTGACATAAGATGGTCGCTAGCAAGAATGACTTATGAGTTCATATCTGCCTTTTCCCAAAAACGACCCTTCAAAAAAAGTAGTTATGGCAGGGAAGAAAGTTAAGTTTGTAGGGTGCATGACAAAGAATAAAGGAGGAGAATAAGAAAAATGTATTTTCGCCTTCAGTTCATTCTGTTTTTATAAAGAAGGCATTCCAGAAACCCTGGAATATATTTTTACTTTGCCTTACATAGTATATTAATTTAAGTTGGGGAATGAAAAAAATAGAAGTCTTTTTAATATCTACTTTAAACTAATGCATTTCTTCGTTGTCTTAAGAAAATTAAGAATAGTTCTTAGCATTCTTTTGTTATTTGTATTATTATAGAGTTTCATTTTAAATGTTAAAGAATATGAGAATTATCTTTTTTTAAGATGGAAATAATGACAAGGCTGTTGAGTGTGCCGCTACATACCTATTGTTTAATCCAAATGATGAAGAAATGTTACGAAACAAAGCATTTTATATGCAGAAACTTGGATATCATCAAGCTCATTTTGTACCTCGTCAGGTAAATTATAACTTACATACTTGTCACTTCAAGAAACAGGCATTGTCATTGAAGACACAGTATTCCCATAACAAGGTATTTTTTTTGGCTCCACTGCATATTGTATTTATAATCTATGTCCGTCATTCTGAAATCCAACAATTGATTGAGTTTTTGTTTTGTTTTGCCTGCAGATATCTGACTTTTAGTATATAATGTCATTATGATGACATACAGATGAAGTTTTGGGTTTTGTTCCAGTTGATCTACTTATGGCAGAATAGCAACACTTGGACATAGAATTCATAAAAATTGTACTTGTCTGGACTTTTTTCTCAAATGTCTGTAGATCTGGAGCTGATTTTTTATACATTAGTGTATAATAATAACTTGCAATCAAGTTTGACATTCTTTTGGTTGACTGACTTTTTGTTGAATTATGTCCCTTGGAATTAAAAAATTTCATAAAAATTATAAAAGTCCAGAATTTTATTGCAATCCTTGTAGATCTGGAGCTGATTTTTTATACATAAGTGTATAATGATAACTTACAATCAAGTTTGACATTCTTTTATATAGAATCCAATATAAAAGATTTGGTACTTAGACACTACCATTAGCAACATGAATGACATATCACAGTGTTTATTTTTCAGGATGCCAAAGAATATGAAAACCGTAGAGATAAAATGTTGGAGTTGTTGTACTTCATAAGAGATGAGTATAATGTAATGGAAGAGAGTGAAGAAGATACCATGAAGGGGGATAACCTTAGAGAAATTGAGTTGGAATTAGAAAAGATACATGTAAGGGAGATAAATCACTCAAATGTAAAGATTGGTTGTTAGGTTTACACCATGTTATTTTAAAACAATATTTAAAAAACATGGTATTTATTAAAAAAAAATTACTGTAAGCGCTTTACTCATTGAAAAATAATTATATCTATAAACTTAAATATGGTACAAAAAGTGAGGTAAAAAAAGGGGGGGCAAAAAATTATTAAAGTGTTGTGAATATTCAGACTTCTTCCAAATGCTTATATATTTCATGACATCTATATAATTGATACTGGAAAATGGTAATCTATTAGTTACTACTGTTAACTTAGAAATTATTGTGTACATTTATTATTGCGATTTTTAAAGAATTTTCAAAAATGCAAGACTACCTATTGCAATTTCAGGAAAATCTGAATACAAATATATGTAATGAATTTAGAATGTGAGTTCTTAGCGATGACAACTCTTGTCTCTTAAATATATATTATCAGATGTGTTTAAATAAGCTAGTCTTACCTATACTGAAAAAGTCCCTTATGGCTATTTGATTTGGTTTTTAGATGAACAACACCAAATCTAAACCAGAAAAACTGACCAAAGAACACTACATGGGAATTTATGAAAAGATTGGAATCAAAGTAAAAGAGCATAAAAACGACAGATTTGTTGCTGATGATTTTTACAGAGATGATCAGTGTAGAGAACTTGCCAATTTTGCAAATGTAATTATCTGTTCTGTGTTATGAATACCAGAGAAAGGCTTGTATAGTCCGCGGTTTTATTCTCCAAAATTGGACCTTCCAGACGGGGTGCGGACTATAGAGTACAATAAGCAAGAAATAAGAGAAAAATTTCAATTTCGCGGGCGAGTTGGTTTGTTTACGTTCCGCCATCTTTGTTATTTCTATTGTAGAGGGCGCTCTTATCATTTTTCAAACTAATAATTTTAACTAATCCATATTAATAAGTTATTTATATTCAATATCAAATTAATACTGATAAATATAAAAACTAAACCTTTCATTACAAATTTCTCGTTTCTTTTCAATGCATTGGTTGAAATAAACTGGTATCTGCTTGATTGAAACGATACAAACATAGTGAAAAAGACAACCGTAAACCAGCTTAGAATTTGTAAACTACAAAACGTAATCGGTTATTGTTCATTCCGTTTTGGTGTTTCATACTGACTAATATGGTTTGTATTAGCTTAAGACCCTTCAAACATTAATGTGATAGATATATTAAAGACTGTTTTACAAAAGGATGGAACTGTTTTACTTTCAAAGTCGTATTATAGTGATATCTGTTATGTACGGATTTCGACTCTCACCGGTTAATTTCTTCTTTTACACGTGCTTTTTAAACTTCCTGTTTAAACATACACAAGTTTCTAAATTGTTTTTTAAGTGAATTAAACTTATTTTAACAATCATGAAGCGTTCTAGAATCATTTACAAGCAGTTTCAGCTTCTGTTTGATGATGGAAAACAGGTTCTTCCAAGAAAATACCGCAAACGACCGCACAGGATTTGAAATTACCGGAGTTTCATTAGACCTTTTCTAACAGTTACAAAAAGTTTTTTTACCTAAAATTTCGTGGGGAGAAGGGGGTGCGGACTATGTACCACTGCGAACTATACAAGCCTTTCTACGGTAGTCATAAAATCAAGGAATTATTTATATCTGAAATAATTTTTAATTCTAGAAATTTTATAAGAAATGTATGATGAAAACTAACCCAACTAAATAGGGTTAGCCACACACATGGCTAAGGTAAATTTTACTTTCACTGATATTTCAGTATGAACTAACTAACCCCCCTTTGCCATGCATGCATGGCTAAGCCTCCTAAATTGGGTTAGTTTTCATCTGACATACATTTCTTATCAATTTAACCCCCCTTTGCCATGCATGCATGGCTAAGCCTCCTAAATTGGGTTAGTTTTCATCTGACATACATTTCTTATCAATTTTCCAGAATTCAAAATTATTCCAGATTCAAATGATTCCTTGTTTAAAGGATATTCTTGTAAGGCAAAATTATAAAAACTAATTCCATAAGGATACCATAATGATATTTCATAATTTGTATTTAGAGCAGTGAAGTCATAACTATTTTGTAACAAATCCCAGCCAGTATAAAATTTAAAATTCAGTCATTTTATGGGTTCAAATGAAAAAGAAAACTATTTACTTTTGACTCAATAAGGAATTGTAAATATAATTATTAATGACTTTAACAGCTCATTACTGACTGTTCATGAATAAGTAGAACATTTTGAAAAAACAACTTCCATAAGTTTTCAAATCTTAATATCAGGTGGAAATTTGTATAATAAACCATGCATTTTGTGTGCATAACATTTTTGGAAAAGAACTCATCCTGTAATCTAGTAAAATTAGAACAAAGAAAGTATTTTGTACCCCCCTGAAAGTAAAAATTGTGAATTATTAAAACTAAAATTATGGATTAAATATATTTTCTGATATTCAATTACATTCAATGGATATTTCTGATTTTATATTATAGATATTGGAACCTAATTCAAATGGAGTCCGATATTTGAATGTAGCTGAAGGTTTACAGGTACATATTGTCTCTTATAGCAAACTCCTGCCATTTCTCTAGCGATTTATTATGAAATTTTCTGTAGAGGGTTTTCCATAATATTATATAAACTCATCAATTAAATAAGAATCATTAAATGCATGAACTTTTGTAGCCTTAAACTAATGCAGAGTGGCAGGAACATGGAAACACAGATCTTTACAACATTAGAACAAAAAATACTAATGGCTATTGCTCAAAGTTTGATTTAAAAAAAGACTCATCAGTGACGCTCGAATCAAAAAAAAAAATTATAAGGCCAAATAAAATACAAAGTTGAAGAGCATTCAGGACCTAAAATTCCAAAAAGGTTTTGCCAAATACCACTACGGTAATCTATTCCTGGGGTAGCATATCCTAAGTAATTCAAAGCTTTGTGAACAGTTAATTTATAATTATGACCATATCAATGATAATTCATGTCAACACAGAAGTGTTGACTACTGGGCTAGTGATAACCTCAGGGAGAAAAACTCCACCAGCAGTGGCATTGACCCAATGGTTGTAAATATAAGCATCATAAGATACCAGGATTCAAATTTTATACGCAAGACATGCGTTTCGTCTACAAATGACTCATCAGTATCGCTCGAATCAACAAAAAAATTAAAAAGCCAAATAAAGTGCAAAATGAGTCTTTTTCTCATAGAACTAGTTCTGATAGAACCAATTTCTGTTATTCATTTGTCTTTATCAAACCAACCATGAAATTAGCTTTAAAAATATAGGATAGCATGAAGTAAGGCATATAAAATTGAGAAAGGAAATGGGGAATGTGTCAAAAAGACAACAACCCGACCATAGAGTTTATATTGTACCTATATTCTTCTTAGCTTAAAAACCTCTGCTTTTATAGGTATCACATGGCCACATTTTGAGTGACCAATCAATTAGTTTGAGTTAGATTCTTGTTTACCTGTAAATTCCAATGAAATTTTTTTTTTCATTGGGACTTTTTTCATTTAATGAAGATAATGTCAACATATGATTTTGTTTTTATTTAATGTTAAAAATAAATAAACTAGATAGAGCAATCCTTAGTTGTTAAATCTTATAAAATGGATGAATACATAGTTTTCACTGATGTCACACATAGGGGGAATTCCACTGTCATCCACCATTTTGTAGGTCAAGCTATTCAAAGCTTGCCTTTTAGTTTGTTTACAAGTTTACCTGTGACATTCATTTATTGATTTGACCGACTTACAGTTATATTAAATATAACTCCCAATAGTTTATCACTATAAAATGCAAAATACTTACAAATTTCTGAAGCAAAGGCATTGTCAAATTTTACAAATGAAAATAAACTTTATGGTTGGTGGGATATAACCAAAAGTGTTGTCCAACCCCTCTACTTTTATTCCTGGAATGCCTGTAACAAGCAATCATCTACAATAATTCATGCATGACAAAAAATTATCATAATCACAAATAGCCAATTGTGATTTTGTCACTAAATATTGCAACCTTGTTTGATTATAATCAGATTTCCTTTGTTTTTTTAACAGCGAATAAAGGAAAATACAGAATTGGAAATTTCTCTGAGATTGTTTTTAAGAGCCAGTGAGCTAGCACGTCATTTCAGTGCTCATTTTTATAACAAGACAAGTTTCTTTATAAAGAATGCTGCCATAGTCTGCGTAGACCCTGGATCAGAAGATCAGCGTATGTATTGTTGAAACAGAAAACTAGATATGAAATTTCAAGATTAAATATGAAGAGACATGTGTTATCAAATACTACTTGAACTTTAATAAAAATGGGGGCTGTTATTTTTGTTTTTCTGGCTATATAACAAAAAAGATGAATTTATAATTTATTGTCAAATTTCTTAGTTAAGGGGGAATGCGCCAAAGGGCCATCTTTGGCCTAAAAAAATGAAGTATTTCAAAATCAGCTGATTTATGTGCAAAGACAATAAGTATATGCAAAGACTAAACTCCAAGATCTTTCAAAGCAGTCTTTCTTTATGAACAGTCTACAACATTAACTCAGAAATAACAGGTGGAACACTGAAAAATAGCATGCATACATGGATTTTTCTAGCATTCCACAGAGTCCGGTATTCGGACCCATTCCCAATGGCAAATACCCTACATTTTTCCCAATTTTGGGAGCAAAATTCCCAAACAATCTCAAAATTTATTTTCATCTTTATTATTCATGACAGTGATGTTCATTTTGTTCAACCGCTAGCTTTATGCAGAAAATCGCCAACAAGTAATGTGTAAATCCGAGGAAAATCGTATCTGACTGACAAAAACATAAGGTGCAAAAATTTGTACACCATATCCGGATTTCGACAATAAATGTCTCTTCAGTGATGTTAGGAATCGAAACGGTATTTGGAAGGCCATATAATTTACCTCAATTTGAGATTGACTCTTGAATTTTGAAGAGTCAAAATAGGATGAACGGATCATATAAACCCGAAGGCAAATATAATACAAGCCCAAACAAAAAAATATAAACAAGTCTAAATTGAAAACAACGTTCAAACCTATGATTGCGTTGGATAAAAACCGCAATTTTTATAGGTGTGCATGCAAAACAAATTTCTTGGTAGAGTGGTCTAAATACAGCACAAACAACATTTTCCAAAAGACCAAAAAAGTGAAAAAGTATATTTTAACAAAACGCATTTATTGTATCAAGTAATTTGACATTTTTTACATTATAAGTGAAAAACTATATTTAGATTGAATCAAATAGCAAATATATGTGCAGTTTAAATTCTTTTTTTAATTAAGAATACTTATATCAATGGAAACATATGTTGATCTTTTTCGCTGATTATTAATCAGGGCTGTTTCAAAAATTATAGCTAAGGGTCTTTGTAGTCCTTTTTATATCAAATTTTATGGATTTTTTTTGGTTTGGGACATATTTAATATGAAGTATTAGGTAGAACATTCCTTTATTGAAGGGTTTTTCTTTCTGAGGAGTAATTGCCTCCAAAGACTTCCATGTACTTGTTTTTACTTTTTCTGGATTTGCTGTGATGGACATGTTTAATAGCTTAAAATTAATTTCACTGTGTTACATAAACATGGATAACCATAAGTTAAGAAATATGAATAAGTCAAGAATATGGTTTTAATATTTCTTTCAGATCCAGAAAACTGTATACCACAGGAAGATGGGAGTTGCTTAACAGAGGATGAAACTGATGATAATGAACTTCTTAATGATCAATTTGTGTAAGTTAAATTTGTGTGGACTTTTCATGTTTTTATTGTAAATTTTCCAGCATCATGCAGCTGTAGTAGCAAACTTATATTTGACAGATAATATTCCGTATGTGAACCCAATGATAATTCAGGAAATCGAAATGTTTTTATTTTTTGGAATTTACCAATTTCTAATGGGTTCAACATTTTCACGAATGACTTTAACCTCTTCAGCACTTACAATTTTTCCAAGGAAATTAACTTCTTGATTAAATAAACTGTACTTTATCTTAAATTTCAAGTTGTATTTCCTAAATCTGTCCAATACATTCTTTAAGTTTTCCAAAAGGTTATTAAAACTGTCCCCTAGTACTAAACAGTTAGTCTTCAAATAAGGGCAGTCACTCTTTCCTTCTCAGTCATAGCAAGACAAGCTGTATCACTATTAAATGTAGCAGGATTGTTCCCCAGTCCAAAAGCTAATTTTACAATTTCAAATTAACCTTATTTTGTAATGATGGCTGTCTTGTGTTTGTCCCTTTCATTTATTTGTAACTGCTTATATACTGTGGCCATATCCAGTGATGACATACATACATTTCACCAAGCTGCCATCCCTCTTCCATACTAATACTTGACTGGCTGCTGCCCATTCAGAGTTTGATACCTGAATGAAATGTTTCAATTGACTTGCTACCCATTCAGAGTTTGATAACTGAATGACATTTTTTACAGACTTATGTTTTAGATTTTCTTTTTAAGAGTGAAGGGGTGGTCTGTATAGTTTTTCAGGTCAGTCCTTGTTAATGTGTCTTTAATAGTCAATTTTTTTTAAGGGAAAGATAATCCACACAGTGCCACAAGCTGCCATCCTTCTTACATACTGATACTGGTCTAGCTGTCCATTCAGAGTAATACCTGAATAACATTTTTTACCAACAGATGTTTAAGATGTTCTTTTTCAAAGTGAAGTTTTACATGTCAGTCCTTGCAAATGCGTCCTTTTGGTCAATTGGTTAATGGAACAATAATTCATACAGTACCTCAAGCTGTCATCCTTCTTCTGTTCTAATACCGGACTAGCTGCCCATTCAGAGTTTGATATTTTTTACCACCATATGTTTAAGTTGGGTTTTTTTTCAAAGTGAAAGAGTATGCTACAAAGTTTTCATTTGAGTCCTTGTAAGACAAGCTGTATCACTACTAAATATAGCAGGACTATTCCACAGTTAAAAATTCTAATCAGCAAGTTCAAATTGACTGTACTTCATAATGAAGGCTGTCGTATGTCTGTCCCTTTCATCAATTTGTAGCTGTCAAATGATGACATAATAACATTTCCCACAAGTGTATTTCAATGTGATTCGATGTTTGGAATGGGAAATGCATGTTTTATAGTCAATTTGTTAAGGGAATGAAAATCAACACAGTACCCCCAAAACGCCATCCTTCTTCCGTACTAAAGACGGCTGCCCATTCGGAGTGTGATACCTGAATGACATTTTTTTACCAACATATTTTTAAGATGTTCTTTTTCAAAGTGAAGGGGTGTTCTTCAAAGTTTTTCATGTCAGTTTTTGCAAATGTGTCTTTTATAGTCCATTTGTTAATGGAACATTAATCCACACAGTACCTCAAGCTGTCATCCTTCTTCCGTTTAGAATTAGCTCCTCTTCTAAATCTGTGGCTAGCATGTTACACACTATTTTTGTTCTTCAAACTTCCCAGTCTATCTTGTCTGCTACTTCTGCTGTAAATGTTCTTCCTGTATTGATACCTTTAACAACAATAGTATGGTAGTTTGGTATTATTTTTATATAGACAGAAAGAGGGTTGTCGCAATACTCATATAATGGAGATTGTTCACAGTTTAATTGTACCACATGATACACATGTATACATATTTTACGAAATCAGCAGTTCAATGAAACCTGTTTTAAGCAGTCACTCTTGGGAAGTACCAAAATGGACTGCTCAAGAGAGGTGACCTTTTAAATGAGGTCTGAATAAAAAATTCTGATGCTGACATCCCCTCTGGCCAAGATCTGGGGAAATTGTTTAAATGTTTTCAATCGATAGAGTTATGGTTCAGTTAAATATAAAATGGTGGATTATGGCGCTGTTAATTCAGGGTTCGACACTAACGCTAGTCCGCTAGCCTGAGGCTAGTAAAAATTAGGGAGGGCTAGTAAAGTTTTCATCACAGTAGTCCGACGGGCTAGTCAAAATTTTTGTTTAAAATTAGGAATTTCACAAAATTTTAATAGTCAACAAATGCCAGATTTTTTGCTGACCTTTGCTGTCTTTACTGTACAGTTTATTCACATATATTTTTAGGACTTTTTATTGTCAGACATTTTTAACATGAAAAGTACTTTTTGAGGAGGGGAAAGAAATGAAAATAATGATGTAATTAATACATTGAAAACCACATGTTTTACAAACACTGTGATGATTCTGATCTCAAAAGTGCTTTCATGATATCAAAACAATAACATGAATACGAAATTTACATTCATTACTACTGATGCCATCACTGTTTGGGATAAATGTACAACTTATTGGGAGGAATCTGAAGCCATTTTTTTTAGTTTAATATTGGGAATTTTCTCCAAAGGAAAAAACCTGTATTTCGGATGTAATTTGAGGCAAACAATATCATCATATATACATGTACCAAGGATTTTTATAGTCTTACTATACAAATCCTTGTATATACTTAATAATAAGTCTTTGGTAAAAATATACAGATTTTTAGGGGGGAAACTGACAAACAACAAGGGAAAAGAAGGAGTCGATGAAAAATTATGACAAAAAAAACGCAAGGGCAAAACTTTCCTCTTTTGTGGGTGTATTTTTGAATCCATTACTTATCCATCTTCATTAAAGACACTAGTAATAATGATAAGTAAAACGAGAGAATGATGAAGTAATGATCTAAAAGGGTCTTCAAAATAAGTCGAAGACATTCTTAATATAGATGAAAATATTTTTTTTTTTGGTATCTGTAATTAGCAAACCAATGAAATTTCATGAAAAAGACATGTTCAAAACCCTCTGTTAATGCTCCAGAACACAGGATTTTGCTTCATTTATATCAAATTTTTCTCGGGGGGGGGGGGGGGGGGGGGGGGGGGGGGGGCAGCATGCCCCCAGACCCTCCTAGATAGGGTCATGCAGGTGGCACTACCGTCCAAGTGCCTGGCACTTGGAGGGCGTGTCAATTGATAAGAGGACTAGTAGAAAAATGATTTCACTAGCCCTGCAGGCTAGTACATACATTTAGTTATTGTCAAACCCTGTAATTTGAAGAAAACATTCAAAATATCTTAATATTTGTGGAGAAATAAGACGGTGATATGGTTTTCAATGGATGCAGAAAGGAGTGGAACTAATTCACCTCATATTGTGCAATCTTGGTTGCAAACGGTTTAGATTTTCAGTTTGACTTCGATACTGACCACATATAATTTTTGTCATGATTGAATTGGAAGTACATGACGGTTGTTAAAAGTTGAAATACAAATTTTGTGCAAAAATAAGGTGGCTGCTGACCTAGTTAGACAGGTCTGACATGGGACTAGCTGCCCATTCAAAGTTTGATACCTGAATGACATATTTCATCAACATATTTTTAGGATGTTCTTTTTCAAAGTGAAGGGGTGTTCTTCAAAGTTTTTCATGTCAGTTTTTGCAAATGTGTCTTTTATAGTCAATTTGTTAATGGAATAATAATCCACACAGTACCTCAAGCTGTCATCCTTCTTCTGTTTAGAGTTATCTCATCTTCTATATCTGTGATTTGCATGTTGCACACTATTTTTGTTCTTCAAACTTCCATGTTTATCTTGTCTGCTACTTCTAATGTACAATTGTATGGTATTTTGGTATTATTTTTATATAGACAGAAAGAGAGTTGTGTTAATACTCGTATAATTGGGATTGTTCACAGTTTAATTGTACCACATGATACACATAGATATAAGAAGATGTGGTATGAGTGCCAATGAGACAACTCTCCATCCAAGTCACAATTTGTAAAAGTAAACCATTATAGGTCAAAGAACGGCATTCAACACAGAGCCTTGGCTCACACCGAACAGCAAGCTATAAAGGGCCCCAAGAATGACTAGTGTAAAACCATTCAAACACAAACCAACGGTCTAATCTATATAAAAAACAAGAAACGAGAAACACTTATGAACCACATCAACAAACGACAACCACTGAACATCAGTAATATTTTACGAAATCAGCAGTACAGTCAAACCTGTTTTAAGCAGTCACTCTTGGGAAGTCTCAAAAGTGACTGCTCAAGAGAGGTTACCGGTACCTTTTTAAATGAGGTTTGAATAAAACATTCTGATGCCGACATCCCCTCTGGTCAAGATCTGGACAAATTGTTTAAGTGTTTTCATTGGGAGAGTTTGGTTTTGCGTCAGTGAAATAAATAAAAAAAAAGGTGGATTCTGGCCCTGTTGATTTGAAGAAAACATTCAAAATATCTTAATATTTGTGGAGAAATAAGACAGTGATACTGTTTTCAATTTTCAATAGAAGCGAAAGGGAGTTGAACATGAGGAATTCACAATTTCTCCTATCGTGCAATCTGGTTTGCAAACCGGTTTAGATTTTCAGCTTGACTTCGATACTGACCACATATAATATTCGTCATGATTAAATCGGAGGTTAAAAACATTAAAATGACTTGTTAAAAGTTGAAATGAAGATCTCCTGCAAAAATAAGGTGACCGCTGACCGAGTTAGACAGATGACTACTGAAATGAGTTAAATTATATGGAGAAAAGTTTTGGAGGATCTGTAAATGACTGTTACAGGCAGGTGACCGCTGAAACGAGGTGACCATTAAGGCAGGTTTGACTGTATTTCTTGGTTTTTTGTTTGAATTGCATGTGATAAATGACAGTTCCTAATATGTAAAATTATATGGATATATGATCAGCGAAAATTTAAAAGTCATTGACTTAAAGCTGTGGTAAATATTGAATAGGTATTTTATCAGCTGTATCTTTCAACTTTTAATTTTGATAAATAAAATTACATGGCTAAGTAACATCAATGATTATTATGCAGAATTGACTTGTAAAAAACAGATTTGTAATTCCAATTGAAAAAATTATATTTTAATGGGCTCTAATATTAAGGTGCAAAAAAACTTTAAAATAATTTCTTTGTGTACAATATTTTTGCATTGAAGTATGTTGCCATTTTACATAAAATACAAACAATGAGTGAATTTTTATTGTGTTGTATGTGCATTACATCACAGAACTACAATACAATTAGAAGCTATTTTAGTAACAATGTATAAAAGTTATTGGTAGTGAAATCTGCATTCTTTTCTTTCAGTTCATTTTTCATTGTTTCAGCTCACTAGCAATGCATGATATTGGTGTTACTTTTCTAGTTGCTAAGTTAACATTTCGGAATATCTTTATATCTTTCCTGAACTTTCACTCAGGTAACCAAAATGTGTATACTTTTTCAGTCAGCCAATGTATTTTGACCTTATTATCATGTTGCTGTATTGAGGGGGGGGGGGGGGGGAGGGGGAGGTTTACAATCAGGTCTGTTCCTCACCATCTATTTGTGACAAGTCAGCAATAGTTGGTATGTGGATTTGTTGTAATGACTTTATTTCTGTCTGACGTATGCCATAAGACCTTGACCTCATTTTTACACACCGTAGTTCAGATTCAGTTTTCAGGATGAGGTCTCCTCCCCAATAATACACATGACAGGACAACATTATTTGTTTCTTCATTCTGAAATGTGGCTTTTGACATGACATTTGTATTTCATTGATCAGGTTAAGTTTTTAAGGCTGTTCTATAATAGGTATACATCCTCATGTCTATCTGACATTTTCAAGCTCTGGAGGTCAGGAAAATATAACAGGATTGTTCCTTTGTAACTTTGCCTTACAGATCAACAAATTTTTGTAAAAAAAAAAAGTACATTTTCTCTGGATATGATAAATTTCCTTGACCTCATTTTCATGGTTGAGTATGCAGGAATAGGTGTGTTACTCTGTTAATATTGACAGGTTGTCAATGTTTGACATGAAGTTTGGTTGTAATCGTACATATATCTGACATATTTGAATTGACCTCAGGTTTTTGTCCAGTCGGCAACTTCTGTCCCAGAAAGCTCGACATAGGGATAGTGATCTGGCGTCGCCAGCAGCAGCGTTAACTAACTACTTAAAAGCTTTATATTTTAGAAGGTTGAAGACCTGGATGCTTCATACTTTGTATATAGATGCCTTATATTATGAAGTTTCCATCTGTCATATGTCCATTGTCATTGACCTCATTTTCATGGTTCAGTGATAACTTGAAAAAAAAGTTAAGAATTTTTGTAATGTTAATTTCTCGTTTATTATGAGTAATAGCATAACTATATTTAGTATGTGCGTACCTTGCAAGGTCTTCATGCCTGTCAGACAGTTTTCATCTGATCTTGACCTCATTTCATGGATCAGTGAACAAGGTTAAGTTTTCTTGGTCAAGTTCATATATCAGATACTATAAGCAATAGGTCTACTATATTTGGTGTATGGAATGATTGTAAGGTATACATGTCCTACTGGCAGGTGTCATCTGACCTTGACCTCATTTTCATGGTTTTTTGGTTAAAGTTAAGTTTTTGTGTTTTGGTTTTTTTTGCTAATACTATATGCAATAAGTCAACTTTATTTGGTGTATGGAAATATTTTATGATGTACATGTCAGTCTGGCAGGTTTTATTTGACCATGATCTCATTTTCACGGTTCATTGCTCAGTGTTAAGTTTTTGTGTTTTGGTCTGTTTTTCTTAAACTATAAGCAATAGGTCAACTATATTTGGTGTATGGATTGTAAGGTGTATATGACTGTCTGGCAGATATCATCTGACCTTGACCTCATTTTCATGGTTCATTGATCAATGTTAAATTTTCATGGTTAAGTTTGTTTCTTAGATATTATAAGCAACAGGTCAACTATATTTACTACATAGATTGATTGTAAGGTGAACATATCTGTCTGGCATGGTTCATCTGACCATGACCTCATTTTCATGGTTCATTGGTCAATGTTAAATTTTCCTGGATAAGTTTGTTTCTTAGAAACTATAAGCAATAGGTCAATTATATTTTGTGTATGGAATGATTGTAAGGTGTACATGTATTTCCAGTATGGTTTAACTGACCTTAGCCTAATTTTCTTGGATCATGTTAAGTTTATGTGATACTTGAAGCTTTATATTTAGGACTATCAACATAAAATCAATTATCAGTAAAGCACGTGAGACATTTCAGCATGTGCACTCTTGTCTTATTAGGTCTAAGTCCTTTATATATACATGTGGGTAAAAAAATATTTGGTACATTAAATTATAATAAAAAGAATATGTACTTTTAACAGATGTTAATTGACCTTTACCTAAGGTTCAGAGTTGATTGACTTTTGAAATAATTCAAATATTACAGCATGCAATCATCTCAGTGTATGTGTGGTAACTCTTTGTTTTGTATTTGCAGCTTGATATCATTCCTGACAGAAGATGAAGAACCAGGGCATTTTAGTTTCCTAAATAGAAGACATAAGAAAGAGGTAACACATATAAAGATGTACATTGCTTTTTGTTCTGTACTTTGTTTTACTTGACAAATAAAGTAAGACAACAAATGTAAAGCAATATAAATGTAATACAGAAAGTAATAAAGAAAATTATAAATAGATGTTACATTGATTTTTTTTGACAGTGTAAAAAAATCGATTCGCAACAATAGAATCTGTGACTGATTTTTTTCAAGGATTTGAATTTCTTTATTTTAATGAGATTTAAAAATCAAATAAATGACTGTTTATTTATCATCCATTGAATGCAAAGCACTAACAGAAAAATTACAGATTATAAACTATTTATGATTTGCAGATGCCTGTTGTGTCAAAATGTGGAAGAGTTGTTGGCTTTAGATTATCTGACAGACAGAGATCAGAGAGATCAGAATCACAGAGATGCTCTATGGTTTTAATATTTACATCTAACAGAAAGGAGGACAGTCCGGCTCACAGAGAAGCTTCATTATACCTTTTGGATTTAGAGAAAAGTCGTCTTGAAGTAAAAGAAGTTAATAATACAGAAGACATGAAAAAATTTTACGACAATGGTAAAATTTATAGTTTTTTGTAGTATAAGCAATAGTTAAACAAAGCAATATTACTGAAATGACAAGGTTCTCGTTAATGCAGGTACATCATGTATCAGGTTGTATGAAGACCAGATATTTTAAAATATACATTATCACAAATTTAAAAACTGGTGTTAATATTTCCAACCAGTAACCACTTTTAAAAGTATTCTTTGGTTTTCTTTAATTTCCATCGTGATAGAGCTATAATGTATTTAACTTGTCAGGAATTGGTAAGATATTTCAGATCGATGATCTTTGAATAGACATCAACAGAAGGATAGGTACAATATCTTTTTTTCTGTCAGGTTTAATGATTTTAAAATCAGGTAAATGAATACTTAAAAAAACTGGTTATGAGCAAATTGGTCTTCAAGTTTTTTAGTTGAAATCCATATGCAAATGTATTTTTGGACAGATTTTGTGTGACTGCAAACGCTGCATGTTTCTTTGATATTGACCATACGGCATGTATATATTTTCTACGGTCATAACCATCTCCACCGATGACTGAAGTTAGATAATATCCTCTCTTGTTTAATAGTGGTTGTAGGATCTCAGCTGGGCCATTGGCAATTAATTATATAATGATAATAACTGTTATTGTCTGCATTTTTGCTGCAAGTTTAAAGTAATTCAAAATTGAGAAGTCTTTTTCTAAGACCCTCTTACCCTCAGTTTTTAGCTAGAACACTGAATGAGATGTTTTATTTTATTTAAAGGATTGCACTTAATATATCATTGACACTTCAAAGTGTATTGGAGTAGTCAGTTTGTTATGATTTTATATGAATAAAGGGAGATGTGGGTAACACACAATCAATGAGGCAGCAACCAGACAATATAAAAGAAAAGCAAACGACAAAAGACATTTAGAGGTCAGCATACAGTATATAATCATCAGAGTTTTAAATACTGCTTAATTTGGGGTTTTTTCCACAATTAGGAGTAAGAATAGTGATGGGTGAAAAAGAGTTAAATAGTAACCAAAGATTTGCAGCAGATGGTCTGATAACTGAAGAACAGTGTCAAGCATTGATAAATATGAATCAGGTAAATTTTGCACCTTAATTGATCAGAAATTAATTCATTATTCCAATTTTGTATGTTGAGTCATATCTGTGGTTAGCTTCATAACATCAAAAAAACTCATACATTTGTAAATTTGTTTAATAATGTCACTACAGTAATCAGCCTTGTATAGTTTGCACTGGTACATTGTCCGCACACCCCTTTTCGCCACGAGAATTCAGGTAAAAAAATTTTTGTAACTCTTTGAAAACGTCTAATGAAACTCTGGTAATTTCAAATCGTGTGTGATCGTTTGCGGTATTTTCATGGAAAAACCTGTTTTCCATCATCAAATAGAAGTTGAAAATGCTTGAAAATGATTCAAGAACACTTCACGAGTGTTAAAATAAGTCAAAATCACAACCAAAAAAAATTTAGAAACTTGTGTATTTTTAAACCGGAAGTTCGAATAGCACGTGTAAATGAAAATAAATACGATGAGAGTGTACAGAAAATCCGTACTTAATAGATATCACTAGAATATGACTTTGAAAGTAAAACAGTTCCATAACAGTTCGATAAACGACTTAGAAATAAAAGATCTCATGGCAAACGCAAAAACCGTAATCAACTTATTAAACATCGTATAAATTATACACTTGCTGATCTGTTATCTATAATAAAAAATAATGGCAGACATCAAGTATTATGCAAACTGGGTCCGATAACAATAAGTAAATTATATGCTATTTTTCTGGAGTGTGATACAATTTCTTTTTTTAGCCCAATGTATGAATACACCCGTATTATTACAGCCTTTTGTCATCATAGGCTATTTCCTAGTATCAATAAACCTGAAAATCATAAACGGCATTTTCTTAAATTAAAATATATAAATAGAGGTATTGATTTTATTAACTTATCTAGTATTTTCAATGACTCTACCATCCAAAGCCAAATACCTCCATATTTTGATAATATAGAACCACCTATTATTTCGTATTCTTATAAAAAAAACCAGCAGAAGTTTGATTTTTAATTATACGTCAGTTACATCAGACGTCAATATAGAAAATAATGTTCCTTCCACTTGAGATTGTGAAACATCTAGTTTTAGATATGTTCCCTATGGTCATGTCCTTACAGGAGACCTCAACATTGTCGAAGACCGTGAGGTCATAACTTTTCTTAGAAAGGACCGAAATATCGTCCTCCATCTAAAATAGATTGGAAACAGTGTCTTCAGGTCATTAAAGACGCTCTATCTGTCTTACTGTAAAAATTGGTGTAAACGTGAAAAATCTGATAAAAAATCTCTAGACAGTTATTGGAATAAAATTATGAATACTGTTAATATTCGTATATCTCATTTTGAAACAATTCTGAAATTAGTAATACGGTCCATGATATTCCCATTTCCAGAATAAAAAATAAACTCCAAGTACTCGCAAAGCGGTTTGTGTTCGTACCGGCAGACAAAGAAACCAATAATGTAGTGGTGGTGTGACGCATATACTACACGGAAGTTCTCCAAAACGAAATTACAAATTCATCTACATCCAGGTCCGTACGCTCCACAGAGAGTCAAATTGTAAACAAGCATATCACTGCCACTACCCAGCTTAAAGCCTCTTCCGAACATTTGAAAGTCCCTACTATGTACTGGTTACCTAAATTGCACAAAAAACAATTGAAATTCCGTTTCATCTCCGCATCTAGTAAGTGTTCTACTACCAATCTATCAGTGCTTCTAACTATCTCCCTTACTACTATCAAAGAACTTGTTATTAACTTTTGTAATAAAGCTTATGAAAATAATGGTATTAATTATTTTTGGAGTGTTAAAAATTCTTGAGAATTTTTAGATAAAATACATGCTTTTGATGGTCCTTTTAATTCTGTTGACAGTTATGATTTTTCTACTCTCTATACTACACTTCCTCACAATCTTATCAAGAAAAAGTTTTCATATTTGATTAAATGGTCTTTTGAAAAATCTCATTACAAATTTATTTGCTGCAACTCGTTTAAAGCCTTTTTCTGTAACGAAAAAGGAAAGTATGCTAGATACACTTACTGGAAATGTGAAGATATGATTGAAGCTTTAAATTTTCTCCTGGACAACATATATGTACGTTTCGGCGATAAAGTGTATTGACAAGTAGTAGGTATTCCTATGGGCACTAACTGCGCCCCTTTAATAGCAGATTTATTCCTGTATTGTTATAAATCTCAGTTTATGACCAAACTCAGTAAAGACACCTCATTGTTACATTTGGTTGATACTTTCAACAATACCTTCCGTTATCGAGATGATATTTTTTCGTTAAACTATCCAGAGTTCTCTAAATATACTACCGAAATTTACCCAAAAGAACTTACTTTAAGTACATCTAACATAAACAGCAGTAGTTGTCCTTTTCTGGATTTGGACATTTCAATCTCAAAGGAAAACTCCATACTAAAATTTACGACAAAAGAGACGACTTTTCATTCCCTATTGTTAATTTTCCTTTTTTAGACGGCGATGTTCCTTTGGCTCCATCATACAGTGTTTATATATCCCAACTCGTTCGTTATGCCCGTGTGTAAAGTGATGTCATAGATTTTAACGAACGTAATCAATGCATCACTGGTAAATTATTAAGTCATGGATTTCGTTACCATAAATTACGTAAAACTTTTACTAAATTTTATCATAGATACAAAGATTTGATTAGTAAATTTTGCTGTACCTGTAGAAAACTGATTAAAATTGGTATTTCACATCCTAAATTTTCTGGTAATATTGAACTTAAAGCACGGAAATCACTATGTGATCTGTGTAAACTCATCGAACCTTTAAACAAACTTATTAGTAAAGGTTATCATACCAATGTTGTAATTAGATCTTTGAATATAGTTTACATTGGCACTAATATCGATTTTGTCATCAGCAAATTAAAACATAACTAAATTTGTATTCTTTTCAAACGGGATGTATAAAGACACACCCACTTTCATTTTGATCTATAAAGAGGTTAAACTCCTAACTATCTTACTGTCTGTCGATACATTTATTTTTAGCATTGCACAAGTCATGTCTTCTTTGACTGTCCATGACGTTAAAATACTAAATCCCTGGGATGTGTTTTAGTTGATTTTAGTCTCTGATGCATGATTTTTAATTATTAATTGTTTTGGCTTTTAATTAGCTGTCAGTAACTGCGAGTAATTTCAAATCGTACTTTCTTGTTTATTTGACCTGTTGATACTAATTGTAATGACTTTTGTTATTTAAAGTTATTCAGGGTTATATCTGGTCTATATACCAGCTTTGATAAGTGTTTGGTATTACTATAAATTTTCACTTCGTACTATGAACATCAAAATTATTTATTTTGTAAAAATATTTCCTTTCTCTATTGGAACTGTACACGTATACATAACAACAAAATTATTTTCATTTACCTGTGTTTAAAATAATTGCAAATGGCTGATATTTTTGTTCGAGCATATTGTTTTTCTTAAATTGTTGAACATTTCATACCGATATAACATGTTACTTTTATTATTCTTCCCTTAGTTTATTTATTTAGTATTTGCATTGTATCATAGGTCAAATTTATTTGTTCATTGTATGTTCATTGGTGTTAATATGTCCGTTGATTCAGTTAAGCTATTTCAGTTGATATTTTATAGTGTGTCTTTCTATGTTGTGATGTTACACTATTGTTTCAGAAAAAGGGTGAAGGTTTGGTACCATTAAAACGTTTAAACCTGCTGCATTTGTTTGCACCTGTCCTAAGTCAGGAATCTGATGTTCAGTAGTTGTCGTTTGTTGATGTGGTTCATAAGTGTTTCTCGTTTTTTATATAGATTAGACCGTTGGTTTTTCCGTTTGAATGGTTTTACACTAGTAATTTTTGGGGCCCTTTATAGCTTACTGTTCGGTGTGAGCCAAGGCTCCGTGTTGAAGACCGTACTTTTGACCTATAATGATTTACTTTTTTAAATTTTGACTTAGATGGAGAGTTGTCTCATTGGCACTCATACCACATCTTCTTATATCCATACTTGAGTAAAATAATGTTTAACATATCTATATTTTGATGTTTGAAGGATCTTAAGCTAAAACAAAACACATGCGTCAGTATGAAACACCAAAAAGGAACGAATAACTGATTACATTTTGTAGTTTATACCTCGTTATGCATAAGCTGGTTCACTGTTGACTTCTACACTTTTTCATTCCGTTGTATTCAAGCAGATTCCAGTTTTTTTTAAGCAATGCAGTGAAAAGAAACAAGAAATTTGTAATGAAGCATTTAATTTTGAAGTTTATATTTTATATTGAATAAAAATTACATATTAATATGGATTAGGTAAAATTATTAGTTTTGAAAATGATAAGCGCACCCTCTACAATTTCAATAACAAACATGGCGCAACGTAAACAAACCTCGCGAAATCGATTTTTTTCTCTTATTTCTTCCTTATCGTACTCTAGACTATAGTCCACACCCCTCTCTGGCAGGCTCAATTTTGGAAAATAAAACCGCGGACTATACAAGCCTGAATTCGGTTGTATGAATTCTGGCACAATCAGAATAGTTTTGTGGGTTTTGATGAAATTTCTCATCTGGACACAATTTTTTTTTTTTTTTTTATAGGAATACCATTTTGAAACTGATAGACAATAGCTCAATTTATCAACCTTTCATTGAATTGAATGGGAAGGCCAAATTTCTAACCTGCATGGATGTTTGTTGCTTTTCATGATAATTTGTGTAAGTCATCAAAAAATCTGTGTTATTTAAAAAACTGTAAATAGCGAAAGTGTTGAATATTTCTTCTGTTCATTTAATTTTTCCTTTCATAGAAAAATGAAGTGTCATTTTTCTTTATTTTTTAACTTATTTTGCAGGAAGGTGCCATCGGTGGAGATGGTTATGATCGTAGACGATCACCCCATACCAAAAGTGAAACATTTGATGGTCTAACTATCAGTAGGGCAACAGAGGTATCTATTTCAGTCTGCACTCATATTTCTTAATTTTTTATTGACATTTGAATTTCATTTTGCCAGCTTTTTTCAACAGCAGCTTGAGGCATGGCAATGTTTTTTTTAAAGATGAAATTGTTGATAAATTGAAATAAAAAATTATCTTTTCAATTTGTTGACAAATATCAAAAGACAAATTCGATATGTAACTATCAGGCTACTGTCTGTAAAATTGAAATGATTGTTAGAAAATGTCATTAACCCATTTACATTTTTTCAGAAAATGTAATATAGTTTCAGCTTGTGGTATTTACTTGTTCATACTTTTAGTCCAGTAAATTAATATACTAAATGACTAAATATATCTGATAAAAATATTACTTTGAAATGCAACAAATAAATACTATTTTCTAAACTAATCTAAAAAAAAACAGTTGAAATGACCAATTTTATTTTGTCATGTTAATAATTATTTTAATATGGAAGTATCTGTTAGATGTTTACTTTAATTCATTCCAATCTACTGTTTTCACTCAAAGTGGTGAACAACGAATTTTAAAATGTTAAAAAGAATCTCAAAGATTTTTTGTTACTTTGACATTTTTCAAAAAGTTTATTGAGTACCAGGTAAAATATCAAATTTTCTACAAAATTTTTTGACTATTCGTTTACCACAGAAATCGTTCGAAGATGGAAGCAGCAAGAAAGCTGGAAATTTTTCCCCTCACACAAAATATGAGCTATTTACGGGCCTAAATATATGGCATACCATGGAGGTTTGTAAACAAAGTCCCTGTATCATCAAATACAATATGCATTAACAAATACCTAGAGCACTTAATCATAGATTGTATATGTCACTGTCACTGGGGGTAAAGGTTGGAAAAATCTTTTAAATATATGTGTTTAAAATGTTTTCAACTTTCACTTTGGATTTATTAACAAACTTTATATGTTTACCCATTAACAGAATTGTCACTGTAAACTTACATTTTCTCCATCTTTCACAACTATTTCCTGTTATATGTTTTACATGGGGAGGTACTGGTGATAAATTCATCCAGTACATGTATATGTTCTGTTTAATTTGTTGTTAGATATGGATTTTCTTGAAATTTTCTCATACTTTGTTAACACATTGGATTCCATCTAGAAAAAAAACAACCCAATTATATACATTTGTTAAAGAAAGATATTAAAATTGATTTTTCTTATAAAAGATAAGGCAAGAAATGGGAGGATGGAGAATTTAGCATAAATGGCATTTGGAAATGAATTTAACCTACCCTAAATATTGAATTGGTATTTATGGTCTAAACATGTATGAGAATTTTTTTCAAGTTATCTTTTTTGTATGATTGATAACAGCAGCAGTTTTAAATATTAGTTTTATGCTTGTGTGTGTTTGATATTGAGTATTGACAAAACAGTGGTGTGAATGTATTTTTTTTTTTACATTTGATGAATTTATTTCAGCATGTCACTTTGCTCCACAGGAATTTCATTACAAACATTTTTTGCTTGATTCTTCTTTTGTATGATAGTGATGAATCATGAAAAATTACTGTGAATGCTTTAACTCAAAAATACCTCCATTCTCTTGACTGAATGACATTATACAATCACTTCAACAAAGCTGAGGAAATGTTATAATTTATCTTGCCCTCCACATCTGTGTGGCAGTTTGAATGTGAATCCACATATATCAGAATCTGTAAGAGAGAGGATCATCTAATTTTTGCAGGGATAAGTTTGTTATAAGGTTACATCCAAAGAAGGTCAATATGAAGTGTATTTTTAACTTTAAGTGACTTCAAAATTTTGCATCAAGTTTTTAGAAGCACCAAGAAGAGTGCTTAGTTTAAGATTCATTTAAATCATATGATTTGTACTTTTAAATGTAAGATCTTGTAGTCATATAGGATGTGTGTTTTGTTAATCTACTGACTGAGATGAAAAAGGGGGGGTTGAGAAATAGAAAAAATAGTTTAATCCTGACCCCATTTTCAATTGCCTGTCCTCAGTCAGGAGCTTTGTCAGTAGTTGTTTTAACATGTCATATATATATGTTTTTTGTCATTAGGAGGATTTACAGCTCTTTGAAATTTTCTGTTAAATTTATTCACAGCTTTTATAGAATCTGGACAATTTAGAACTTAACTTATTTTGTAGACACCTGTCTATTGTTGAAAAATGTATTTTGTTTACTTTTATTAATGGGTTGCTGTCTCATTGACATTTACCCCTCATCCCCTTTTATTCATCTTCTACAGAGCAGTTTGAGATGTTAACTTTTTATCGATAATGCAGATTAATTGGATAAGAAAACATTTAATACCTTTGCATGCATTTGAAAATGTGCCTCTGACAGCAAAATAGTTTTAAAGTGTTCATATCTAGCAAACTATGAAATTATCAAAATATATGAATACAAAAATATATATTAACGAATGTTGAATGCACTGTGTTTTTAGATAAAATTTTAGTGGTAACTGCATGTGTACACTAGTTGAAAGATTTATATGTCATTTCATCTCAAATGTACTTCCGATTTTCAGATTTATCCTCTTAAATGTACTTCCGATTTTCAGATTTTTAAACTTGTAAATTTGTTTCTGTTTTGTTGATACCACACCAATTCCTCCAATCTGTATATTTGGATCATCTGTGAGCTGTTTTGTTTAATCAATAAAAATTGCAAAGAATTTCTGTTTAAGGAGTAAAAATACTGCGAGTTCATAATTTTTTAATGTAATTTTTAGTTAAATCTAAAAATGTGATATGGTGAATAACACCATTAAGAAATTGGATCTTAATAATAAATACTCTTCTACAAAATGTACAGATATCACATTTATTCAGCTGTCATTATTTTCTTGTGTCAAAAATATATTGAGAGGTAAAATATGTATGCGTAAAATATTCTATAAATTGTCATGTAAATTTGGATTCAGTCTTTTGTAATGGAATTTTTGATTTTATAATTAGAAAATGTTTTTTTTATCTGTTTTTTTTTTTTTTTAATAAACTTAATATCAACTAGAGCTGCATTACATAGATTCTACAAAGTGTCATCCGTGAATCAAAACTTCTGCAAAAAAAAAATTGTTAAAAAAAAGTGTTTCTGCAATTAATTCTGTTCAATATATGAACAAATTTATTAAAAAAAAAAAGATTAAAAGTTTTATGAATTTAAGGAACTATACCTATGATTACAGACTTTTCTTGTTTAGGAAAGATTTTAATTCTAGACTCCATTATTTTGTAGTTGGTCCATGTTGGGGTTATAAGTAAACAAGCAGCCCAGCTGTTTCTGGATGCCAGTGACTATGGAAGACTCTTGGTGGAAAAGTATTTTAACTTGACACAACCATTACACTTTGATTATACACATTTAGTCTGTAGGACTGCTGTTGAAGGTATTTTTATGAAATCAGTTAACATAGTCATTTTTGCAATTTTTCTTATCTATGAAGTGGCCCATTGAAAAAAAAAATATTTATGAAAAAGAGTCTATATCAGCAAACTATTTCCTATTTTTACCACCTGAGTTCCACATAAGCAGTTTCACAAATAATATAAGTCCCGATTTAGATAATTTGTATATTATAATGCACTTGTCACCAGAACCTGAAGTTAATAGAGGATTTTTATTTTTTCATTTACCGTAGAAAGGCTTGTATAGTCCGCGGTTTTATTCTCCAAAATTGGACCTTCCAGACGGGGTGCGGACTATAGAGTACAATAAGCAAGAAATAAGAGAAAAAGTTTCAATTTCGCGGGCGAGGTGGTTTGTTTACGTTCCGCCATCTTTGTTATTTCTATTGTAGAGGGCGCTCTTATCATTTTTCAAACTAATAATTTTAACTCATTCATATTAATAAGTTATTTCTATTCAATATCAAATTAATACTGATAAATATAAAAACTAAACCTTTCGTTACAAATTTCTCGTTTCTTTTCAATGCATTGGTTGAAATAAACTGGTATCTATCTGCTTGATTGAAACGATACAAACATAGTGAAAAAGACAACCGTAAACCAGCTTAGAATTTGTAAACTACAAAACGTAATCGGGTATTGTTCATTCCGTTTTGGTGTTTAATACTGACTAATATGGTTTGTATAAGCTTAAGACCCTTCAAACATTAATGTGATAGATATATTAAAGACTGTTTTACAAAAGGATGGAACTGTTTTACTTTCAAAGTCGTATTATAGTGATATCTGTTATGTACGGATTTCGACTCTCACCGGTTATTTCTTCTTTTACACGTGCTTTTTAAACTTCCTGTTTAAACATACACAAGTTTCTAAATTGTTTTTTAAGTGAATTAAACTTATTTTAACAATCATGAAGCGTTCTAGAATCATTTACAAGCAGTTTCAGCTTCTGTTTGATGATGGAAAACAGGTTTTTCCAAGAAAATACCGCAAACGACCGCACAGGATTTGAAATTACCGGAGTTTCATTACACCTTTTCGAACAGTTACAAAAAGTTTTTTTACCTAAAATTTCGTGGGGAGAAGGGGGTGCGGACTATGTACCACTGCGAACTATACAAGCCTTTCTACGGTATTTGAAAACTGCTCATGGAGTACTGTAAATTCAGAAGTTATTGTGAGGTTTTTACTGATGCAAGTAATGCGACTGGGTGAGTATGGCGATAATAAGAACCAACATTCTGATATATAATGCATATATCTGAAATCAAATCCCAAATTTTGGTTGGTCATGTCAAAATTAAAGTAATGAATGCTTGCAATAATTTCTGAATTTACATTACTTTTGTCACTTGATGGTCTCCTTATTTTTATATAGATTCAGAATACTGTGTATTCATTTATTTCTGTGGATTGAACAAAATTGCATTTTCTTGCATATTTGATGTCATGGTTTTCCCAAAGTCTACATGCAAGCTCATGGAAAATTTGTACTTCATTGAATAATTTGTGGTTCAGCTATATCCATAAAATCCACGAAAATTGGTATCCAAAGAATAATAAATTATCCATAGTTACTTGATTGAATGACAGCTAGTAATTTGTTTTCCATACCCTGTTATTAATGAGAAAAAAAAGGTGGTATAAATTCCTTGTAATGCTAACATGTAGATTTAAACATCTGAATATCATGTCTATGAATTTCAGGTTCACAAGAAGATAGACAAGATCTAAGTCACCCTGTACATGGAGACAATTGTGAACTACAGGCAGATGGTTCATGTATAAGAAGATTTCCGTCATATGTACAGAGAGACTACAGGTAATTTCCTCAGTACTTTATGTTCATTTTTCGTCTCTATGTATGTTGTTGACATTTTTCAAGTACATATTTGTGGTAAAAAAACAAGTTAAGGATACCAGGCTTATAATTTTGTATGCCAGATGCATATTTCATCAACATCAGACTCATCATGGCGCTTAGGGATCATAGATTTATTCTTATGAGGAAGCTCCGAGCATGCTCGGAGGATGCTCAGAGCTTTTTCAGTAGGCTCTTCTCTGCAGTTTATGTGAAAATAATTATCATGATCCATTAAGATGTCAATCAAATCTACACCACTTCTATAATAAGGAAAGTAGAGCATTATAGAGGAAGCTCAATTAACACCTGTGTAAACATCTAATCTATTCAAATACATTTTGCCTGAAATTTTACAAAACTATAGAATAGATTAGAAATTCTTCAACAGTACTGTGTAATGCTTGGAAAGAAATCTCATGTCTCCACAAAAAGTGAAAGTCTTTAACAAAAAATATACAATTATTATATTTTTAAAATAATCATTTCTTTTTTTATAATAAAACAAATTCTCAAATTTTATAATTAGATGATATGATTTAAATATAGTTTATATTATATAATATGCTACATAAAAGTTATCAAGACACAAACAACAGTCAGGGGGCGATACTAAACAAGTTATTTTTTTTTAGTTACTTATATTAATAGGTATTTTTTGTTTTTTTAAATTATTTGATATAATCTCAATTGTTATTTTAAATGTCAAAAGTGGACTAAATGTAGTTTTTAAGAATTTTTATATCATTTCATTAAGTAAAATTAAGTATTTATCCAACTTGAGATGAGTATAGAGAGATTACTTTAAAAATAATGACAAAAATATTACTTTTATAAATTATTTTATACATCTTCGAAAAACTAAGCGAAAAACTAAGCACAATTATTTAAGGAACATATGTAATTGTTTTTGATAAATATTTCAAATTATAAATAACTTCAAGTCTTAATTAAATCACAAGGTTCCATCCATTTATATTTGTTCATCTCTAAGATTTTGAAGGAAAATGTTATTTTAATAGCCCCAAGAGACCAATCTATGACCAAGAAGTGTGGCATCAGAAAGGCAATTAGTGTTTCAGGAGGATTTAAATAGTTTTATACTGCATGGGGAAAATAACCAGATGTGAAAATTTGTTAAAGCTTGTAAAACCTGTATGAATGGACACCTATAGAAATAATATTAACAGAAGTTACTTATTCATGATATATAAGTAATATTTGAAACAACCTTGTTTTTCAATATAACTTGTATAGGTTATTTTGAAAATTACTAGTTTAAGTAATGCCCTTAACTAAACAATGGTATTTTTTTTTATAAAATAGCAAAGTTAGTTTTTTATATAAAATATTTTTGCAATTTTAGGGGACATGGCTACTAAAGCTTGTAAACAGAGAAAAAAAAAGGGGGATAGAATTTGGTTGGTTAATTCTGGTGATGTCTTCTTTCTTATATGCACTGAAAAATTATGTTGTTTTATTACTATAGTACAGGACAAGAAAAAACTTTACTCATGTCAAGTATTTCTTAATTTATAACATAGATAAATTCTGCACATATTTTTGGAAAAATACGAATTAAACAAAGACTGATAGGGGGAAACAATTTTATATTAGATTTTCATTCAAGTACAGGTCAGGATAAAACTTCACTTCTTTATTTAAAATAAAACCAAATCTGCACAATTATAAAAAAAATGACAATTAAAGTGAGACATACTAGAGGGAAAACAATGGTGGTATTACCTCCCCAACCTTTGCTATTTTATAAAAAAAAAAAAATTATCATTGTTTTAATAGTTAGGGGCATTACTTAAACAAGTAATTTTCAAAATTGCTTATACAAGTTATATTAAAAACAAGGTTGTTTCAAATATTACTTATATATCATGAATAAGTAACTTCTGTTAATATTATTTCTATAGGTGTCCATTCATACAGGTTTTAAAAGCTTTAACAAATTTTCACATCTGGTTATTTTCCCCATGCAGTATAAAACTATTTAAATCCTCCTGAAACACTAATTGCCTTTCTGATGCCACACTTCTTGGTCATAGATTGGTCTCTTGGGGCTATTAAAATAACATTTTCCTTTAAAATCTTATAGTTGAACAAATATAAATGGATGGAACTTTGTGATTTAATTAAGACTTGAAGTTATTTATAATTTGAAATCTTTATCAAAAACAATTACATATGTTCCTTAAATACATGTAATTGTAAGTATGCTTAGTTTTTCGAAGATGTATAAAATAATTTATAAAAGTAATATTTTTGTCATTATTTTTAAAGTAATCTCTCTATACTCATCTCAAGTTGGATAAATACTTAATTTTACTTAATGAAATGATGAAAAAATTCTTAAAAACTACATTTAGTCCACTTTTGACATTTAAAATAACTATTGAGTTTATATCAAATAATTTAAAAAAACAAAAAATACCTATTAATATATATTAAGTAACTAAAAAAAATAACTTGTTTAGTATCGCCCCCTGACTGTTGTTTGTGTCTTGATAACTTTTATGTAGCATATTATATAATATAAACTATATTTAAATCATATCATCTAATTATAAGATTTGAGATTTTTTTTTATTATAAAAAAAGAAATGATTAATAAATATAATAATTGTATATTTTTTGTTAAATGACTTTCACTTTTTTGTGGAGACTTGAGATTTCTTTCCAAGCATTACACAGTACTGTTGAAGAATTTCTTATCTTTTCTACAATTTGTAAAATGTCATGCAAAATGTATTTGAATAGATCAGTTGTTTACACAGGTGTTAATTGAGCTTCCTCTATAATGCTCAACTTTCCTTATTATAGAAGTGGTGTAGATTTGATTTACATTTTAATGGATCATGATAATTATTTTCACATAAACTGCAGAGAAGAGCCTACTGAAAAAGCTCCGAGCATCCTCCGAGCATGCTCGGAGCTTCCTCGTAAGAATAAATCTATGATCCCTTAATTATAGCAGTTGAAGGCAAAAAATAATTGGAAGTTGAAGAGTATTGGAAGAAGTCAAATTTCCAAAAAGTTTTAAAAAATTCGCTACCAACAACAACCATTTGACACTAAGCTTCTGGCTTGGGACAGGCACATAAGAACATAGTGGATTCTGTTCCTTTTGTCATGAAAACAATTAGGAAAGGGTTAACTGGCTAAAAGAAGAAATTGATATTTCCGTCATCTCAGGTTTGATTATCATGGTATCTAATCGGGGAGGAGAGACAAATCTCTTAAATAGTGTTGAGTACATGCTCTACAATGTTTTAACATTTTCAGTCCAATACAGTTACTCCTATATGAAAGTGTTATGGATGCAAGTTTTGCAGATTAGGGTTGCTCTGTAAAAATTTGAAGGATTTTTGGAACCTACTTAAATTGGAATTTGAGAATGTTGAGACTTACTGCTATGGGAACTGGCAACTTGTTTCAAACAGTAATTTGATATTTATTACTTTAGAATGAAAGTAATTTTGACCATGATTGCAATGTATGTCCATGGTGCAAATGGGTTGTTGCCCAAACTTCTGACTTTCAGGATTTAGGCAGAGTACAGAAACGCTCTAAAACAAATAATGTCCATCTCTTATTTGTTCGAAGACTTTTTGGGAAATAATTTATCCTGTGCTGTAAAATTGCTTAAAGTAATTTATTTAATCCAATATTTTTTTATTAGAAATTTGATGTAGACTAATGACAGACTATAAGAAAAAAATAGTTGTTATTTTATTCATAAGAATGTCTGGTATTGAAAATATTCAATTTTTTTTTTACCTGTAATGATTAACAATGGGTTTGTTATTTTTTGCAGCTCTATCATGTATCTCAATGGTGATTTTGAAGGTGGAGAATTCTTCTTTGCTCATGGAAATAAATCAGCCCAGGTACTGTGAAATATATTGTAATATGTCATAAATGTACATAAACAAAGTCTGTGTCTACTTGATAGTAACTTGAAAAAACACCTGTACCAGTCAATTTTCAATTCTTTGTTGCCATTTAAATAGGTATATTAGCCTAGAATATAAATATTTAGCCTATTTCAAGTTTAAGTATGGGTCTGAATATAGGGTTCTTTTGTACTTTAACAATATCACAATAGCAATCCATGACTTAAATTTTGGACAAGGTAAATAGCATGAAGCCAAATTAATCAAATCCTTTTGTATGAAATGGGATAAATTGCCCTTTCAATTCTCAAGGCTTAATATCTATTTTCTAAGCTATATAAATTTCGCTTAGCACAACAGTCTTATTTTATCATTTTAAAAGCAATTAAGACAAATGAAGTACAATATGAAAGGAGAAAAGAATAAATGCATCTCCAAAAGACTGTAAAATCGTCAGCCTGCATGTTTCTAAATGACAAAACAAAATTGAAAAAATTAACTATTCTTATTTTAAGATATGGCACTTTTTTATATATATTTCCTTATTTGCAATGTGAGTAACAGTGTGTTTAATCAGTACCTACTGATTCTTCTTTCTTTTAGTACCTCATCTATCTTTTATACCTCAGCAAATGACAAAGAAACACCATTTCAAACTAAATAGTTACATTCTTAAAAAATAGACTGCTGTACTGGACTACCATACTCAGGTTATTACAGGATTAAACAAATTTTTTCTGGAGGTTATTGATGTGTAAACTGGGGCGATTAACTCACAAACTGAATAAAAGTCAACTCCTCCTACAGTTTTTAACCCAGATCCTTGAAACTTCACAGGAAGATTTCACCAAGGGTCCGGAAACGGTCATATTTACCAGTCATGTCCTAAGATGAAACTATTTGTCCTAAACGAGTAATTGGGATTTAGGACAAATTTTATTTTTTTACAGAAGTAATTTTGGTCATTTCATTGACTCAATGTTTGAAATCGGATTTCTTAATCGCCATTTTGCACTTGTGATCACTTGTTTTTGTTTATAATCCCTTTCCTGTAATAAAACTGCCACTACAGTAGATTGATAACCCTGAGGGCCCTCCTAATACCTATATCAATGCCTCCGGGAAACATTGGCTAATGATCGCTAATCACTTTTTACCTGTGGTTTTAATTCACACCTGACAGTGATCACAAGCTCAGAATAATATCTTTAAAACATTAAAGTTCCCTGACAAGTGTATTCATTATTTATTTACTTTTCATCAAAGACAGTCATCAATTCTGATTTAAAAATTAAATCTAAATTTACGTAGAAAAAAGTATTTTTTCATGAGTAATACATGTGCTTTATTTACTATGTAATACGCATTCGTGAAATTGTCTTCAGCAAATTTAATATTTAATCGTAAAATGCAAATTGATTTCATGCTAAATTAAACGAGTGCAACTATTATCTGTTATATTCAAACACTTTTAAAGGTAATAAAATAAAAAAGCCATAAAAAGCCGGTGATTTCCTGTCAATTTGATAAACAAAACAAATCCCGGAAATGAATCCAGAATTATTCGTACTTTAAAATATCGCAAACTTCCGGTTTTAACTTTCGTCAAATCGAAAGACACGTAAACAATGTCTGAGAAAATAACCATTTTGAGTCATTAAAATCATTTCAATTTTAGACTGTTGCCTTCCCTAAACTGTCCTTCATGGTAATGGTAAGACATTTACTTAGTAAATGCGATGAAACAGCAATACAAGTTCGTCATGTTAGTTGATGCTATGAATATAGTCAAGTTGATATCGACAATTTGAAAAGGGGCACCAACTTTTCAAACATCTCAAAATGACCGAAATTGTCTGGAAAAATTTCCTGATCCTTGGATTGCACATATGTTGAAGTTGTGTACCTGGTATTATGGAATTGTTTCAGTAATTATTGCTCAATTTTCCAGACATGGGAACTAAGTCATTTCTTAGCAAAATTAATGAAAGAGGGTACAAGATTTGCGTAATCAGCTCCTACAGTTTTCAACCCAGATCCCTGGAACTTTGCAGGTAGATTGCACATATGTTGAAATTGTGCACCTGCTTTTATGGAATTGTTTGCAAATTGTTAAATCTTATTTCAAATAATTAAATGTTCAGTATAAAGCATTCTCCATTGTTTAAGAAGCATTCTGCACGACCCAGCCATTTGAGTCTTTGATCTATTTTTTTGTGCTTACATTCACTGCAATGAAACGATGATAGATATCAGTATTTAATTTTTATTTTCTTATCAATACACAGATAAGTTAATGCATGAAATTATCAAAGTGGTCATCTTGACCTATAGTTCCAACTTCAATTATTTTACAGAAGTATCATCAGTTATTTATTATCTATTAACATTTTCAGATGTACATAAAACCTAAATGTGGAAGGATTGTAGGTTTCAATTCTGCTGAGCTTCATGGGGTGAAGGCAGTTAAAAAAGGTAAACGTTGTGCCCTTGCTATGTGGTATACAATGGACTTGAACTTTAAAGAATTAGCCAGAATTGAGGCTAAAAAGATGATTGATAAGGTACCAGATGATGTTCATAGAAATCTGAAATCTAAATCTGAAGAAAGTACTAAAGAAAAGAAAAGAAATGCAGATGAAGAAAACAACATTAAAAATGAACAAAATTCACATATGGATGGATTAGATATTACTAAAACAACAGAAGAAAGTTTGATCAAACATGAACAGAAAAATGAAGAAAAAGGTGTAAATGGGGTAAAGCAAAAAGAGGGAGATGCCCTCACCGAAAAAGGACAAAATTTAACTGAAGATGATTATAGTCTTAAAAAGGTAACAGATATCCATCAGAAGGGACAAAATTTAAATGAAGAACAGAAACTTCATGAAGAATTATGATGGCGGATGGTGCTATGTTAAAATATTTTTGACTCTTTTGGTATATGTAATCTCCATTGAACCTTGGGAAATGTCCAGTGGCATTGGTCGGTCCAGTTAAACTGGAAGATACTGGTTGGAGCCTTAATTGAAATTCATTATAAAATTCATTATAAATTGCAAAATGTTTCATAGTTTAAAACATTTGAGCCAAGATCCTCACTTTTGCATTTCACAGGAGATTTGATTTGAAGATTTGTCCTAGATTTTTTTTTATATCATGAAAAATGTAATTTTTCTGAGCTTTAATTTTTTTTTGTTTAGGATTTGAACAGGTCTATTGACACTAGTTTGACTTTGTACTGATAGGAACAAGTTCAAATCTTACACTTAAACCACTGTATGCTTGCTCAGTAAGGTTTATTGATATTTTATTCAATGTGCTTTTGTATGTATTTGCTACAAATTACATGTATATTAGCCAAGAAGAATGAATAATAATTATATTTGCTACGATTCACATGTATATAAGCCAAAAAGAATGTATATTAATTAAATAGACAATCATTCCTATGTTTCATTTATGTTATAAGATCTGTTTTATGGTGCTTTACTGATGGGTATTTGATTTCACCAATCTTGTCATAAGTTAAGCACAAAATTACTTTAAAAAGATGTTCATATTGTATTCATACAACTTCTCATGCATGGCTTAATGCATTATAGAGTCACTGACTGTATATCACATAGCATTATACAGTCAGCATTAGAATGATTGCAGTATAAATTTGTATATTAGGTTTGTAATGATGAGAGTTGGGATTGGGTCTTGTCATGGCATTGTTTTGACTTTTTATTTAATATTATTTTTATAAGTCTAAGCTCAATTTAGGGGAAATATATGGTATGAATTTAAGTGAGAAAACAATACTAGATGTACCAAGTGTTCTAATGTATCATTTGTTGCCAGACAATGCAAAAATCATGATATCTTAGAATATGATTTATATACATAAATAACTCTTTAAACTAGGGAGTGCTTAACTTTTGATAGGCTGTGAACATATTTTGTGTATATATATTTGTTATGGAAATCCAATTTTATTGAATCTCATTTTATTAAGTCATGTTTACTTTGACCTTTTAAACATTGTTTGCAGTATGCAGATCTGTATATTGAGGTAAGTTTTTGTAAATGTCAGATAGTCTTCCGCAGATCTATATTTACAAGCTCAATATTTGTAAATGTTGAATTTTTTGGGATTACAAGAACAACAGCTGGAAATAAAACCAGTAAGGGAAAAAGTAATTCAAATGGTACAGTACTATTCACTGTTCAGTTTCCTCTGAGTTTCTAACTTAGTTAATTAATTTGTTATTAGAAATTGCTTATTAATGTTGTAAGTGGCTCAGAACTTCAAATTAAAACCTCAATCTAATTTTTTCATACTCCTAATAATTATTTCACAAAACTTAAATAGTTCAAAAGTAATCCATGGTTTTTGCTGTCATGAAGGGGATATCACTTTGAAAAAGAGTTGTAATGTCCACAAGTTAATAAAAACATGTGTATAAAGCAACAAGTTTTTTTTTTTTTTTTTTTTTTAAAAGAATAAATTAAAGAGTAAGAGCAAAGACTGGTTGGCTTGGAGTTACCTTGTGAACTATCATGTTAAAAAATCCGTCTCAGGGTTTCGTTCTATTACAAAGCAGGGTTTACATTATTCCTGAATATACATTTAATTTGCCACTGGAGGGGAAACGGCCATTCATCATTTTCATCATCAAATGGGCATTATCTATTATAAGGAATAAAGTCCTCAATCACAATGCATGTGTATATAAATCCTTTATGCACATCTTTTTACATTTATTACCAATCCATAATATATAATCGACAAAAAATATTTCATTCAGTGATGGCTTTGCCTGCTAATTAACTTTCTTGTTTTTTATTACTGAAGTTCACCAAACGGGACCTTAATTAACAATCAACACAGAATCATGCAGCACCTAAAAAATAAGTGAAATGATAGACATGCAATAGAGGGATTCTTTTTTGTTTATATTTTCCATGCGTTTCTATTTGTTAATTAAAGGGAGTAAATTTTGGTAAAGGTCATATTTGGACCCCAATTATTAAGTTCAATGTTTCAAGATAAAAAATGTTTTAAGTTGATATAAAGATATGTGAGAAAGTTAAACAGAACTATATCTGCCAAAGCTTTATTTTAAAGCGTTGTATTTTACATGGCAAATAGGTCAAAAATAGATATTTTTGTGAAATTTGACAAAGTTGTCAGTATTGCAACCAAATTACGGCCTAGAAAACATAGAACACAGACATAGACAAACTAAATATTCAAGTCAGATATGTAAAATGTCATAACAAACATTATGATAAAAGATCAGATTTTGTTGACACATGTACTTTATGTTTACTGTCCAAAAAATCAATGGAAATTTACCCGTTGTCATTGAATTTTCCTAATCTGAAATTTTAGCTAGAAATAGGGGCCATTTTAGGGCCTTTGGAACCTTCTCCTTTGTCATAACAGATGTTAAATGATTTGATGTATTAAAATTTCCTTTCAGAATCACTATCTAACTTCCACATTTGTATACCTTTTCTTAAATCACGATTTTTCTCTTGCACTTACACTGCGCGGTTACCAAAGTACTAACGAGAGGTCTCGTGGTTAAGGTCACTGCATGCGGAAAAACTATCGGCAAGTAAGGGAAGACAGTTCAATAGCAATACATTTTTAAAAATTTGAATGAGACTAAGGATTTTATTTTAAAAGAAAGTTCATGTACACTGGTTTTATAGTAAAACTTAGCCATTCAAGTTTATAAAACATATTCAACCTCCTTTTTAATTAGAAGTTTCATATGACCTTAAGTTATAGAGTAATTAAACTTATTTTTATCCATGTTTTCTGACACAAAAATCTGGTTAAATATGGGACTTTTACTATTTTTTGCCTATTGTAGCATACTAATACCATATCATATTCAGTTCAACTGATTTTCATCATGTGTAGAGGACTCCACATTACCACCATTTTTTTCTTAATTTTATGCAATTTAATCACTTTAATTCTCAAAATGAGCACATTTCCATATAAATCCCAAAAATTAGGTGATTAATTACAAAAGCTGTAAACTGGGATGATACCACAATTGTGCCAATGTTCTGCAGTCTACATTTGAGAATATTAAAGGTAGCAGGATACATTTGACTACCTTGTAGCAGTTCTGTATGTTTTAAGTCCAGTATATATCTCTATGTATTTTAATCTTGCTAGATACTTTATATCTGTAATTTTAGAATAGTGAAATGCTTATTTTTTCATGTTTTTGCTACAATTTATGATATACTGTATCTGTATTTTTGATAAAAACTAGTTATCTCAAACCCTGCAATAATAACATTAACAGTACCACTTTTACTGCACCAGACCACAGTAAAAATGACAAAAATTATAAACTGACAGTTAATCAAAATGTATAAAATAAATCATGCCGTGGAAAGTTCTTATGTACTACTAAGATAATACTTTTGAAGACTAACAGTCTCAAAAAATAAATCATAAACTAGATCTTACTTTGCTGTTAAGGCAATATAAATGCTAATTTTAATGATCAAGTTTATTGAAGTTTACCAAATATTCTTATATACTGTGGATTCAGTTATTTTTGTGGGTACCAACTTTTATGGTGGGATGAAAATAAATAAAAAAATATATTTTTGTGTATACTTAGATTAATGGTTTTGACAAATTCTGCATACAATCATTTATAAAATTTGTACTTTGTTGAATATTTAAATTGAAAGTTCTTTTTTACTCTCAAAATTCACGAAAATTGGTACCCAATGAATTATTATGAATCCATTGTATTTAGTTTTCAATATAGGCTAGGTTGAGAGTATTTACAAAGTATCATATGAAATTTAGTGCTGTTATTGTTAAAACTATTTGATAAAATCAACTCTATTTTTTCAATCATGTTTTAATTGTCTCCCTTATTAATAAGATTGTACACCCCCAAAAAAATGTCTGCAAGTACTCATGGCAGTTTCACCCATTTATTTGAAACATGTCATTATTATTTACGGTTGTTTGCAATATGGAGTCAAGAGTTTGGCTGATTTTGCTTCCTATGTTTATTGATCTTTTGAAAGGCGAACTACAAACTAGACAAACTATTTATTTTGTAATATGACATGTTATGATGTTTATTGTTTAGAATATTGGAATAAATCAACTTTATTTTTATTGATGCATGTTTTATTTTTCTCTTTGGTTATGACTATTGTACAGAAAATACCCTCTGCAAATACTTTTTTTTCTTCACAAAATGTGTTTGAAAGATGTAATCAATATATCTATTCACTTGCTGGTCTTGAACAGACATGAAATATTTGCAATTGGACATTAAGCAAACAACAATCATTATATCTATAAATAAATGCAACAGTAGTATACGGCTGTTCAATAGTCATAAATCGATTAAGGGAAAACAAATCCTGGTCACAAACCAAAACTGAGGGAAACGCATCAACTATAAGAGGAAAACAACAGAAACACTGAACTGCTACAAAAAAAACGCCAACATACATAGAAACAGACTATTTGATAATAACTGCCATATTCCTGACTTGGTACAGGACATTTTAAGAAAACCCTGATCAAAGGCATTTTGCTGTCTGTCTCTTGTTCCATCTAACTTGTCTGTTTTAGATTTCCCAGCAACTACACATCACAGTGATTTGAAGAAATTGAGTTAAGCATGAAATGTATGTATCTCACCTTTCTCTAACAAGGTTACTTCATGAAATATTTGCTCTATATTTCACATTGTCAGACTCTCCATAACTATTCATAATGTTGATTTATGATTTCACTTTATCATGAAATTAACGAATGATTGGAACTGTATGTATGTCTTTGCTAAGCCCTTTCTATTAAGTGTTTATTATATTTGAAAAAAACCCATAAGAAGATGTATGGTTGCCGATGAGACAACACTCAATGAACAAAATCTGTCATATTAAATTTTAATATCATTATTTGAATGAAGCATTTCCTGAAATCTTACTATATTTTCTCACGTGCTTCCTGAAACAAATTTTATTATCACTTTGTTGGTCTCTCCTTCTGTCTATCTGTGTCCGAAATAAATTGATTCCAATTGTTAACTTGAGTATCTCTTACTTGATTGGAATGAAACTTATACAGTTCGAAGATGTAGCGAAGGGGAAGTAGGCTAATGATTTTTGAAGTCAAAGCTCAAGGTCACTGTTACTTTAAATAATATGTTTTTTTGGAAAAAAATGGTTTCCTGATGGTAACTTGAGATTTCCTTGCTTGAATTGAAAGAACCCTATACAAATGGAAGACATTTGGAAGTGGAGGAAACCGATTGTTTGTATGGCCATTACGTCAAGGTCACTGTTACTTGAAATATAAATACTTTGGGAAAATGTGGTAACTAGATGGTAGTTTGAGTTTCCATTGCTTAATTTAAACAAAACACATACAGATGGAAGTTATAAAGAAGATAAAAAATCTAAAGATCAAGGTCATTGTTACAAAACAATTAAAAAAATCAGATGCATGGTATTCTTGCTTGATTGGAACGAAACTAAAACAGATAGATAATATAGAGAAGGGGAAGAATCCTACTGATTTTGTGATCAATAGGTCCAAGTCAATGTCACTAAAACATTTTTTTTAAATGTTGGTTTCAGGATGGTATACCTCTATGAATAGTTACACATTAATGGCGGTGAAAAATTAACAATAACGAAACATGTTAATTTGAATCCCCCGAGAATACTACTATTTTGGACCCTTGAAATACAATGTTTTTCTCTCAATAATCGATATCAGAAATTTATTGAAATGTAATAATGGTATCTCAAGTTATAAAGTCAAACATTAGGAAACGTTGTTGCTTTGTTGCAAAACAGTCAACTACTTTAGAAATGTGCTGATCAGCCCAAACATAGAGCTACTAAAAAGACACTAAGGTTTACATTACAGATATATGAATATGTAGAAAATTTCAGGATTTTAGTTAACATACTGAAACCATGGCCAAATACAACAGATACATTCTTGTACGATGCTGAGACTATAAAGTAGAATCTTGATCACCCAAATATGTTCAATAATGACCATGCTGAAATCAGTATTGATGCTGGTTTCTCCGAACAACACAAGTCGTTTATGCCAAGTGGTAATGCGATCTCAAGTTAGTACGTTTAAGTGTGTTGGTGGGTATTGACTCCATAATGTCACTTCAACCTGTTTATTGATAGAGCAAAAAAAGGGCAAAAAACTTGTATACGCCCCAAAAGACAAGAACATATATAAACATCAGAAATATGGTAAATTACAACGGTGCTGTAATCCAGCATAAATCACCACATGTATACTTTATGTGACTAATACTTGAGATTCGCAAAATTGCATTACATACATTTTGTGGTCTTTTAACAAAAACATGGAAACACACCACTTCATATCTATTACTGTCACATAAACGATTTTGAAATTTATCAAAACTCAATTGGATTTGATGTCCTGCAACATAGCTGGATCGTTTTCTTGATATTGATACAGTCGAACGACTTCAATCTAAGATCTATGACAAATGTGACGATTTTAGCTTTGTGATTGTTAACTTCACATTTCTTAGAAATAACTCATCCACTGTCCCTTCATATGCTGTGTCATTGAGACTTTCGCGCGTGCATGTTCACATTACACATACTTACATTAACAGGTAAAGGATCCTGAAACAAAAACTGTTCGAGCAGGGTTATGAGGACGACGAACGACTGAAATAGACACTGTATAAGTAAACGGCAACGTTAGGTCTGTCTCAACTCAATAACGACATGGTTTAGCGGTGCTAGATACCAGCACAACTGTCTGATGGTAAATTTACCGATTGTGTCCTAATATAACGTATTTCAACATTTTGAGTGCGGATGAACATGGTGTCCAATGCAGGCATAGCAGGAGACGATTACACTGTCGATGTACATGGTCTCGTTCCGTTAGGAGTCCATACGATTCCCCTCAATTTTTGGTATGATCTTGATTTGTATATTTAAATTGATTTAAGATATTTTTTAAAACATCGATAACTACTGTTGTCTCTAATTTACTCTGCCTCTGCTGGTGGACTGATAGTCCCCGAGTGTATCACCAGCCCAGTAGCCAGTACTTTGGTACTGACATGAAAATACGGATTTTGTGTTATTAAAATTTGCTGTTATAAAATTTGGAAATTTGGAAATTATTTAAAATTAAGGAATGTATCTCCCTCATGCAAAGCTCTGATTCCTTGCCCAGCATTGGCTATATTTTTCGGTCCTTTTTGGTTAATAGCTCTTCATATTTTTAATAAGCTTTGGATTTTCAAATATTTTGGCCTCGAGCATCACTGAAGAGACATTGATTGTCGAAAGGCGCATCTGGTGCAGAACAATTGGTACCGTTTATGTTATTACTCCTGTTCAGATCCTTGGATGAAACATCCGGTAATAGGTATCAGACGGTAGGGATTGGTTATATGCCTCTTTTTCAAACTATATTTAAAGCGGGAAATCTTTGGAAATTAAAGAATATACCTCCCTTATGCGCTTTGCATCCTTCGATTCCTTTGAGACAGTTTCATCTTAGGAGAAAGAAATCTAATGGCTCCCTTTTTTCTCTTTGAAAATTTGTATTAACTTCATATTCTGGGATATTTTTTTTGTGATTAATGTATTTAAAGGCTGGTATTCCAGAAACAAGTGATGTGCGCACGGAAATCATATCAATTGTGTTTTTGTCTCTGTAGTTTTGAAAGTCATTTTCTGATTGTGTCCTATATACGATTTTACATTTTGACTAAGTAAAAATCTGCATATTCTCATAAGCATTTTAAATATGGTCCGGTCGCTTTAGTGTTAAAATGTTATCTGGGCTATCATTGTGAGAGCATAAAATGTCAAAATTAATTTATTAGTTTAAAAGTGCTATTTCATATGTAAAATTAAATATTAGCAATTGCCTTACTTCAAAAAGTTATTTGTATCACCCGCTCAATTCAACTGATCGTAAGATTATTTTTGCAAGATTATTTTGCAAGTAAAAATGATTTAACTCCACTACATTTTGTGCCTGCACATCGTATTCGTCGCTGTTGGTATTTTTGATCGCTGGTTTTTCAAAGAGGAGTCGGGTGTTGGTCGTAGGTGTGGTTTGTTAATTGTAACTGTCCAATGATCTTTGTAATTCCTGTTATCTTTTTAATGTATTATTAAACATATGCAGTTTATTTGATAGGAAGAAGTAAGAAAATAACGTTTTATTATAATTCATTATGTGAATTTTGTTTTGCATCCAAATTTTGTTCCTTATCATAAGCAGTTTCTGGTTCATGAATATCATCATCTTCAATAACTTCAATAGTTACTCCATCATCTTCTTCAGGTGTCTTGTTTTCTTTTGTTTCGTGCACTGAGTTGTTTTTGTCAAGTTCGTCATCTTTCCTTAGTTTATTGTCTTCAGTTGTAGTTAATTCTTTTTGATTTGAAAACTCTTTGTCTTTCTTATTATTTACCCTTTGTTTAAATTCTTTACTACGTTTATCGTTGAGTTTCTTTTGTACCGATGCTTCTTTAATATTATTTTTCTCTTCGTCATTTATATTATTTTCTTTTGTGTTGTTTCTTCTTTTTTCTTGTGTTTTCTCTTTCTCTTTTTCATTTTTGTTTTTATTCTCAATTGTCATAAATTGACTGTGTTCTTGTGCATCCACTTCATTCGGTATCTTGTCTAATATTTGTCTGACTTGTATTCTAGTCTGTTCATCAAATCGTTTGTCTAAGGTATACCACATAGCTAGTGTACAACGTCTACCCTTTGTAACTGCCTTGACACCATGGAATTCAGCAGAATCAAACCCTACAATCATTCCACATTTGGGTTTGATTGAAATCTACAAAGTACATGAAAGCAGATTTTTATCATACCCGTTTCCACAAAATTGTTTAAAGCTTACTTAAAAGATATATCACATGTTGGCTTTTCAAAACCAAACACCAAATAGCAAGAACTGACAAAAAGGCATTGAGAAAAAAACAAAATTCTTATAGAGTTATATACATTGTATTGTATTATTGATCATTTTCAATTATAGTTTGCGTAATGTACAATTCTGTTCTAGCGTCAAATTTACTCAGAGTATGCACTGTTATCCAGACTAATACTTACTTAGAACTGCCAATTTTTAGCTACTAGATTACTCTTATCGTGTGATTATAGCCGTTATACAGCTCGCCATCAAATTTTGTGACAAGTCTGTAGGTAATAGTATAAGAATTTCTGGAGGGATAGACATTCTTGAGAAGTGTTTGATAAGCAAATACATCTTTGAGGATTAGTCTTTGTACGTTGAAATATTTGATTATTTAATTCTGTACAGTACCTTACCACATAATTTTATTAAACAAAAACTTTTCTATTTGATAAAATGATATTTCGATAGTCTAGATGCATCTATTATGTTGTTTCTTTTACTAGCCTAGCAAAGAAATATCTATTTATTTAAAAGTCAGGGTATGTCGTATCTTATAAAATGATATTTTAGTAAAGGTCTGAAAGAAGGCTGAACTCGTAAGAATTCCTGATTGCTTTCATCTTTGATGGATAGTTGTCTCATTGGCAATCATACAACATCTTCAAATTTTTATATTATACCGTAAAACAGTATTTTCATTGGTATTTTAAAGAGGAGTGAACTGCACGTCATTTAATTGCTGCTCACAAGGAAGCTATTAAACCAAGAGTTCCAAATGGTGAAGTTGAAATCATCCCTTCGTAAATTTTACGGACGCCATCACGAGTTGGTTGACCATTATGGAATAACCGTTTCACAGATGATATCGGATATGTTCTTTATGTCGTAACTACAATACCCTTCCCTTTTCACGAATTAGACTATTTACCGGATTTGTAATAACATAAGCAACACGACGGGTGCCACATGTGGAGCAGGATCTGCTTACCCTTCCGGAGCACCTGAGATCACCCCCAGTTTTTGGTGGGGTTCGTGTTGCTTAGACTTTAGTTTTCTATGTTAATTGTGTCATCTGTACTATTATTTGTCTGTTTGTCTTTTTAATTTTGGCCATGGCGTTGTCAGTTTGTTTTCGATCTATGAGTTTGAATGTCCCTCTGGTATCTTTCGTCCCTCTTTTAATTGTTAACTGTACGATTTTATTCTATATGTAGGCCATATGGTCATGAAATATCTTGGAAATGTTTTTTTTATATCTCAATGACATGTTTCTAACAATTTGAAAATACATTAATCAAAAGATGAAGACTCCATATTGATTATATATGAGCTGCGTCGGATAGAAATCGTATACGTGTAAATGTATAAGACTTTGTTTGATTTAAGAACATTCAAATACGATATTAAAGATGAATGTTGGTTTGTTTTGTAGGGTTCTTATATCAACTCAATTTTCACACAATTATACAGACTTTACATAGAAATTTTTCAACCAGAAATAAGGAACAATGTATTGATATTTATTTGTATAAGGTCGATTTCTATCCGACGCAGCTCATATGATTAACGATCCACATAGATTAATCGTCATGTTATAAACCGTAAAGGCGAGAACGTCAAAAGTCACAAACATTAGTCTTGCAACTTTTTTTTCTTATTTCTTAATTTGCCTATCCAGGATTTAACGAGTTCTGATTGATATTTTTAAAAGTGTAAACCACAACATTGTGATTGGCTAACAACGTCCTCAACACTTAAAAATCAACCAGTGATGTGACGTTTAATTTTGAGGTACACACAATGAAAAATCTCACTGTCCTTTACATTCTGAAACGGTAAACTAAATTTGACTTGCACTTAGTTACTACAATCTATGTACCTGAGCTGACCAATTTTTATGAGCAAAGAAAAATTCACCACCTTCGAAGTCACCATTCAGATATAAAAGCGAGCTGCAATATAGATAATTCATTTAAATACCTTTTCAATCAATTAATTTATAAAATATCACTACTCGCGTGTTATACACCTTTCCACCATTCCTGCGAACGTTCTTTGTTGTAATCAAAACAATCCAAATTATAAAACCCCTCAAAAGCCTGATGACGTTGTGCCAATTTGGAATTTCAGATACTTTAGCCTAAAGCATTAATGAAAAAACATTAATTGTCGAAATGCGCATCTGGTAAGATAACATTGGTACAGTTAAAGTTATTGCTACGAGTAGTTTTACTTAGTGAAAAAAAAATCGTATTCATTTGCGTTCAACTCCGTAGTTTTCTTGTTTCATTGCTTCTGTGAAAAAATGTGGCTACCATACCTAGCTTCCTAAGTAGATCATTTTGATCCTGCTTTTTATATTAAGTGGATTTTTATTTAAAAATTGAGAAAAAAAATGAGATTAGAGAAATATTGTATCATACATGATACAGGGGTGGAATCTTTTTCTCAATACTTTTTTTATAATATTACGGAAACTTAATCATTCTTTTTATTGATTTTTAAAAATGAATTCTTAATGCACAACGACAGTAAGCATGATCATGCATGCGTTTTCATGATATCGAAATAGTAAATCAGTGAACGACAAAAAAAACTTGATATCATAATTTCAAAAAATGAAGAATTGGCTTTACACAATGATTTACTTAAAGTTTAAGTTTGGTAAGAATAAGAGAAATGTATTATCTGCATTACCTAAAGTCTCTATGTACATATCCAGAGGGGTTTCGTATACATGAACCATCTTTTTGAATGTCACAGTTATCTCCATGTACTGGGTGACTTAAATCCTCTCTACCCGCTTGTGCACCTGGAATAACAACCATGCTAAAAAAAGACATTATAACCACAGACTGTCTCACCCTAATACATTGTCTATACAGGCTTAAAAAGTTTTTTTATTGAATTTTTTGATATAAGTAAACAAGTTGAGAAGATACCTTTCAATCAAAGACCATAATTCAATGGAAGACACAGAGCAACCTTCTCTCAAGTCAATGCTGACAGCAAATTCAATCCCATAGAATATCGTATCATCATCAACTCATCATAGATACCAGACTTTAAATTTTGTACGCCAGACGCGGTTTTCTCCTACAAAAGACTCATCAGTAAAAATGGTTAGAAATGTATAATAAAGCACGAAGTTGAAGAGCATTGAAGACCTAACATTCCGAAAGGTTTTGCCAAATATAGCTAAGGTAAACTATTCCTGGGGTAGAACATCCTTAGTATTTCGAAAAAGTATGTGTTTATAAATAGTTAATTTATAATTACGACCATATCAATGATAATTCATGTCAACATAGAAGTTAATTAAATGGGTGATGCGAATTTTTCTGAAATCATGTAATGACGCTTCATTTTCAAATATTGATAAAATTGGAACAAAATTATAATTGTTTGATATAATTCACAACATCATTCTACAAATCAATTTAAACAATTTTTCACAAAGAAATGAAAAGAAACTTTCAACTGCATAAAGCATTTTTAATTCCATTTAGCTTTTTGTTTAAACGAAATGAAAGAAGTTAATAGTTGTTTTTATGTCTTTACATCAATTAAGAAGGAGGAAAATAATAATTTATAACAGTGTCTAATGACTCGTCCCTTCAGAGAAGTAATTAAAAGATTACGAAATTAAGATTGATTTAAAATATCCCGAATATATTGGAGGAAAACACTTACAGTGGTTTAAAAAAGAATCTGCTGTTTTACTGAAACTGTATTAATGCAAAGGTATCTAACCTTTTAAAATGAGATTTCATTTGAAAATTCTTTAAGGTTTTATCTGTTTGCATTCATGATCACTCATTGAAAAGTATCGATTGACTCATAACAGGAATTGTCAAAACAAAATTAATGAGTTTTCGGAATAATATTCCACTTTCAAGAATGGTGGCTCATCGTGCAATGAACTATAATTATTCAAGGAGTTTATAAACTAACAAGCAAACTTTGAAACCACGTGACCCTTTACAAAAAAATCAGAATTATTATTCTTATTTATCATGTTTTAACGGTAACGGATGCGTTCATCTCTATTCTCAAACGGCTTAAAAAAATCATATATCTAAGGTTGGTACCAATAGGCACTTTACATAATACCCCTTGGTATCTTTCGCCTCTTTTACTAGAAATTTAACAAATGTTTTCTATATTGAGTCAATGTTCATATCCACATTTTTCGGATCACCAACTTTTATTTTTAGAGGCAAGGATAAATGTGTCACAGAGAAACAGAATATTTGTTAATTCTAATATATATAGTCTTCCCTAATATATTATTGAACGTTTACTGGTAACACACTCTCTGTGGTTAAATACAATTTGACTTATTTCACGAAAAACATTACGAGAAAGAACACTCGAAAGTCATGAATATTTCAGTATTTTTTATACTGTACTTATTCCGTAGGCTTTAGCCTATTACTATTCCAATTGCTCAAAAAGATTACCAAATTGCAGTTTGATTTCATCTCCACAAACTGATCAACTGGTAAAATATTTCAAGTAATTGCTTCAGTGATAGGTTGTTAGTGTGAAGTGAGTGCAGTAAAATAAGCTTATACTTACCATCCAACTTCAATTAATTATTGTCAATGTTATGAAATTCATATAGAATAATGACTTACTATAATATGAGGCACTGATTTAAGGTTGCACTTTGTAAATACAGCTGTTTCTCAAGCCACACCTCTTTTTGGGAGATATATAATATTCATAGATATTTTGTTTTGTTTACGTACTGGTTCCCAGATATGATCTCTATGTTTCATCTCATAGAGACATAAATTGGGAATGTTACCAGTATAAAAACACATGGTAGCGGTGAAAATTGAAATCTGAGGAAGACCTAAAGTGAAGGTAGGGGTAGTACAGAATTTTAGTATAAGTTTAAACTGTTAGAAGTTCGGGGCATATAAATGTTGAAAATATGCCGCACAGCCCTATGTTTTGATCTTTGAATAAAAAAGTAGTGCATATCAACTTTCCGTTCTAGGATATAATTTTTTACGAAACTTCATGGTAAAAGTGGCACAGTTTTAGCCGCAAAAGGAGTCCCTATGGGAAATTGCATTGTCTATATTTACAGAAGTGCAACCTATATTGGGTAAAAAAGAGAACATAAAGAATTTCACCAAATCTGGTTTATCTCAGAGATTTTAATGAAATTAAATCAAATATAACGTTTCATAAATATTTCATATGAAGATTGAGAAAATCCTGGGCCTTAATTATGATGACTCAGCATAAATTCACAGTTTACAGTATGCATAATTTACTTATAGCCCGGAATGCAAAATAAATTCATAATATATGCATATTTGTAATCTAAATTGTTTAGAAGTGCTTATATTTACTCTTCGCAGTCATTGAAACTCATAGATCCTTGATGAATATTGTTGTTGGGGTGTTTTTGTCTTAGGAGTTCGGGGCATATAAATGTTGAAAATATGCCGCACAGCCCTATGTTTTGATCTTTGAATAAAAAAGTAGTGCATATCAACTTTCCGTTCTAGGATATAATTTTTACGAAACTTCATAGTAAAAGTGGCACAGTTTTATCCCCAAAGGAAGTTCCTATGGGAAATTGCATTGTCTATATTTACAGAGGTGCAACCTAAAAGGTCTAACTTTGATATGAAAACTTCTATCCAAAATAAATTTGTATAAATAACTAGATCAAAAAATTGTTTTGTTGACTAATAATTTATAGCTTTGTTTTCTAACAGGAAGGTATTGCATAATTGTAAATTGGATATTTTTATATAAGCAATCACTAATCTACTGATAATAAAGGGAAATAATTCAAATTTTAATCAGCAAAATTTTGTTATGTCAACTGTCAACGTCCTTCATATTGACATTTTATCAGTATTTTGTTCTAAACATTATTTCCATGGTTATCAAACTATTAATCTGTTTTTAAGATGATTAAGATTTTGAAAAAAAAGCTGTTGAGAAAAAAATTTTGTGACACATTCAAAGTTGTATAAATCATACAGATTCCTATGTAAATTAAGAGGTATCACCAGCCTAGTAGTCAGCAATTCTGTGTTGACATGAATTATTATTCATATGGTCAAAATTATAAATTAAATGTTTTGAAAAAAATTTAATTGTTCAAAATACTAAGCATTTTCTACCTTCGAAGATTTGATTTCTTATAAGGAGTATTTGGCAAAACCTTTTAGAATTTTGTTTCCTCAATGCTTTTCAACTTCGTATTTAAATTGGCATTTCAATTTTTTTATTCGAGCATCACTGATTACTAAAACAAACTTGTGTCTGGCGTACACAATCATCAGCCGGGTATCTTTGAAATTTTTTTTACAATGAGTGAATACAAATTATTTCCCTTTAATTCCAGCAGATCAGTAATTGTTATAGAAAAAAAATATCCAACTTACAATCACACAAAACTTCCTGTTAGAAAACAAAGCAAGAAGTTAGTGACTCACCAAACAACTGTAACAACTAATTATTTATAAAATGTCATTAGGATAGAAGTTTTCATGTCAAAGTCGGACCTTTTTAAACCAGTGCCTTATATTACAGTAGGTTATTAGTTAATTTCACCGACCGTGCAAGGGCTGTATAGCCAGTCAAGGTCGTTAAAAACTTCCATTTGTTGTTAATTTCACTTTCATTTCACAGACATTTTGTAAATGAAGTTGGATGGTAAGCATTACTTTTATTTCACTGCACTCACTTCATACTAACAACCTTTCACTGAAGCAATTCGCTAAAATATTTTACCAGTTGATCAGATTGTTGAGATGAAATCAAACTGCAATATGGTAAACTGTTTGAGCAATTGGTATTGTTATAGGCCAAAGCCTTCAGGATAAGCACAGTAAAAAGAACTTCAGACTCTTCAATAGTGCTTTCGTTTGTTTTTACAGATAAATATCCTTGCCTGGCTTTGGCTATACTTTTTGTCCTTTTTGGTTTATAGCCACATAAAGTTTTGATAAGCTTTGGATTTTCAAATATTTTGCCCTCAAGCATCACCAAAGAACATTTTGTTGTCGTAACGCGCCTCTGGTGCACTAAGATTGGTACAATTGATGTCAATACTATCTTAATATTTATGCAATGAATACAGCCAATACATTTTTGATAACGTTGTTAAATACTGTTTGCAAAAGTATGAATTATTCTAAATAATAAGGATGTTCTTGTCCCAGGAAGAAAACCCTGGCCGTGTTAGGCGCAACTTTTTGGAAGTTTTGGTCCTCGGTGCTCTTCGGCTTTGTACTTGTTTTGGCTTTCAAGCTTTTTTCATCTGAGCGTCACTGGATGGTCTTGTGTGGACGAGACGCACGTCTGGCGTATTGAATTTTAAGCACAGTACCTTTTGTTAGCTATTATGTGTTTCTTTGTCCTATATGTTCTCCCATTTATTTGTATTGTGGTCAAGTCATGTGATGTTGTCGTTTTGGTGTTGTGTTTGACGTTGCCATTAAAGCGGGAGGTTTGGCATGCCACAAAACCAGGTTCAACCCACCATTTTTTTCTTAAAATATCCTGTACCAAGTCAGGAAAATGGTCATTGTTATATTATAGTTCGTTTCTGTGTGTGTTACATTTTAATGTTGTGTTTTTGTTGTGTCGTTGTTCTCTTCTTATATTTGATGCGTTTCCCTCAGTTTTAGTTTGTAACCCGGATTTGTTTTTATCTCTATCGATTTATGAGTTTCGAACAGCGGTATACTACTGTTGCCTTTATTTAAAGTCAGTGATACATGCCAATGTTGTAGAAATGTGCAATGAATTGTCGGAGTATCACGTTTGTAGAAAAAAACTATTTGTATTATTACCAAGTACATGAAAAAATATATTTGATACTTGTTTTTCTGATGAGGTATTGGTGTTGTAAACAGGAAAATATCCAAAACAACCAGAAAATAGCAGTTGCCATTTTATAACAATTTTGTCTACAATTCCTCGTTGATAAATAAGGAAATTACCCTAAGGCATAGTTGACATATGACTCCACGTATCCAAACATCCCTGGCTTTCAGATGATTTGTTTAGACGTATCAAATGAAGGTAAATCCAGAAATGCGCTTCGGACGCTCGAAATTTATAACGCGTAAACAATGTTATAACAAAACTATCGACTTTAAAGGCAAATCCATAAGAACCAAACACTCGACTATACCAACCAACAGAACGACTGGATCAACTATCATATTCCTGAATTGGTGCAGGTATTTTCCGAAGACAATTTTCAGAATATGAAGAATACACAAAATTCAAGAAAAAGACTATACCTTCTATTGCAGTCCTGCAATTCAACTGAGTATAATCAAAGTATAATGGCTGCGTTAAGTTGAAGTACTTTTCTACCAAAACCTTTCCATAATCACTTGCATCTAGAAAGAGCCGAAGTCCCTGTTTACTGAGTATACCAGCATATGTCAACTACAATATAAGAATAGATAAAAGCATAAAATTTAAACAGAAAATATAAACATTGACACTATAACTTTATATTAATGAGTATTATGAATAGTATTGATCAATACAAAAGCAAAAGACATGATATTTTCTATATTCTGGTAAATTGATTAATGGTAAAATTAGACGTTTTTTCATAAGCCTAATTTTCTTCCTCTAATCTAAATATATAATTGTGACAACAATGTATGCAACAAACAAAAAAATATCATTTCTATTCTTGTGCAGTAAAAGAATATGTCATTATGTATAATTTGTCTGCATTTATTTCCTGTAAAGGACTTATTATCGATTACTTCTAGCCATACGTTAAATGAAATATAAATCTGTGGTTTGTTTTATATATCAATATATAGAGAGTTACCTCTGCAGCTCTACTAAGAGTTAGTCCAGCGAAAACTTCACTTTTAGTCATTGGAGACTTTTTATAATCAAACCCGTCTCCACCAATAGCACCTTCCTGAAAATATTCTAAAAAAATATATTTGTAACTTTGTTCGCTGGATAAACGGCATAGTTATCATTGAGAGGTCAAATAAAACTGACTGCATATTCGATATCCTTGATCTATTAACTATACAGGGGATCAGCTAGTCACGGTACTGTGTCACAAATCAAGACTTGACCCTAAATAGAGCAACATTTTTGCTAATTCAATTCAATCTGAAAACATTAATTTGAATCATCACAATGTAAGTTCGTGCAATAGAGTAATCCGGTACCTAGCAAATGCCATGAGTAACAAAATTGTTGAGCAGCAACTGGTCATCCTTCCGGAGCGACTGACTTTGAAACCAGTTTTATTATGTGATTTGTGTTACAAAATTTATGTTTACAGTGTTGAGTTTTGGGAATGTACTGTTGCTCATCTGCTTTTTCTTTTGGTATTCCTGTTGTTTGTTTTCTCTAAATTATAATTTTGATTGCCCCTTGTTAATTTCCTCCCCTGTTTGAAGATAGAATCCCCTTTGGAAAAAATGAAAACAACACGTTATAAATGTCATGCGTCCGAAGCACTTTTCTGGATTTACCTTCATCAGGAACGCTCAAAGCCGAATATTTGAAAGCCAAGGATGTATAAGTACCTAAACAGTTGGAACTTTCATTTTTTTCATAAACATTTCAGATGCTACAGTCACAGTGCTGATGTTATTAAAAGGGAAATAGTTTTGAATAGACCTAAAGATAAAATAATACTGAGCATTCGACATAAGCCATTCTATTGACCTCACTTTTAACACTATATCACGCTATCCGGTCAGTCTGATGACAAATTATTCAAATCTTGAATTTTTTAGAATGTTATTATTTTGCCTGTTTGAATGAATACTAAAAATTTGCAAGTTGTAGAAATCCGTAAGTATTTATCATAAAAGTGGGTACTTGTTTAGATATACATAATTTGTCTACAACCTCAAAGCACACGCATGAAATTGTGATATTGTATATTTTAGGAAATATTTTATGATATTTTTTAGAATGACAATAATGCAAAATTAATGCAGGGGAGATTGGTTCTTCCTAGTTACCTGGTTGATCTCTATCAGGGTTTGACACTGCTCTTCAGTTAGAAGTCCGTCGGCTGCAAATCTTAGTTTACTTCGTAATTCTTTTTCACCCATGACAATTCTAACTCCTAAAATGTAAGGCTAAATTTGCAATCACATTTGCGATACCAGCAACGCATAATTACTTTTAAATTCGATAACATCAGCGTTCTGAAGTTGAAAATATTTTACATGTATGTTGCACTTGCTAAACGGTTGTCTAGATGTCTACCTGTAATGTTATTATTTTAAGAAGATTTTTTAATCAAAAGTGACCTTATTTATGGGTAAAGGAAACACTTTTGTAAAATAAAATGTTTTGATTCTGTACACAAAAAAAATCAAAATGCTTAAAAATCGTTTCTCCATTACGTTTAGTTACTATATGCATTGGCGTAAAGTGTTAAACATTCTTAGTTAGATTCGAAAACTTCCACCCAAGGCTGTATCTTCCAATGGCAAATCTTTTACAGTTATTAAATTCTGATTGAATTATGTATATTAATTTGTTCTTACCGTTCTCATAAAATTCCTTCATGTCTTCTGTGTTCGCTTTTTTAACTTCATTACGTCTTTTATCTAAGTCCATAAGATAGGTTTTTACTGCACTGTCCTCTTGTCTGTTAGATGAATAAATGAAAACCATGGAACATCTCTGTGATACTGATCTCTCTGATCTGTGCCTGTCAGATAATCTAAAGCCAACAACTCTTCCACATTTTGACACTACAGGAATCTGTCAATTTCACCACAAGTAACCTTATCTTTATACTTCATTAACACAACTTGTTTTACAATCATGTATTTTCAGTAACCATTACTTCAAGACCTTCACTTTGCATTGACAAACAATGTTGACAGTTAAGTACAGACTTGACAACGTTATTATATTCTGCATCAATTCAAATTTTCAAAGTTTATTGTAGATGATTCATTCAGAGGTATAAACATTTTATTTTATTCTTACCATTCGTTATTTGCCGATGCTTAATTGAATTAACAGTGAGGTATCATATAAGAGTAAATTGATTTCGATATCACAATATTCCAGGTAGAAGGTACGATGGGTATTTCAATTTGGATTAGCAGTACATCTTTATCGGAAATATCTTCTTTGACTGTAATGAATGCTAGACTTTATAGACGCCCTTAGAAACACCTAGTGATATATGTTCTAAGCAATAAAAGCATAAATTGAGGAAAACTCTTTTGGCAAGAACTGATAATTTTACGTACCTCTTTTTCATGTCTTCTGTCAAGAAAATTAAAATGCCCTGGTTCCGTGCCGTCAGTTAAGAAGATTGCTACACTATAAAATAATAAAACGAAATTAAGAGAATGACATGGATTTTACTGAAAACGAGATATGTTGAGAGGAAGAATATGTGCGGAGAAGTATGATTTGAGGTCTGTTATGAAAAGAAGGCTTTCCTAAACGAAACACCAAAGTCAATCTTTAACTCACTATCACGCAATTACAAAATTTCAACTCAGTATATAAAAGCATAACAAAAGTCAGACAACTACTTGATTTCAGCATGGCTGAAAGACGAAAGGACATACATAAATAACTCATTATTCCCAGACCATGAAATGACGAGTTCTGTATTTACTTCTCTCCAAAGAAGATGTGTCTTGTAGTAATATAGTGCAGTGGTTTCAGGTTACGTGTTTTTTTTTCATATTTGCTGTCATAATGTGGTCTTTCAATAGAAATGGAAACTTTTATGATGTAAATAAAACAGAAAATATAATTGTTTTCACTGTCGAATAAATCGTTATTTCGAAGTGATAATTCCCAAGACAGTTGTAATATGTTTAAAGAATAAGACAGTTGTAATATGTTGAAAGTACTAGTGATCTTTCGTTGTTATGTTGATTTAATATACTAGTACATGTATGTGTCTTTGAAGTAAAAAGAAAAGTAGTTTTGATAAATTTTGAAAATTGCTCGAAAGCATAATTTAATATTTACTGTTGCCTGGAACTTATTGCGACGATATTTGAAACCAGCTGCATCGACCAAGTACTTGTAGGCAGCCTTAAAGTATTGACTTATGCAAATTATACAACCGTGAACAAAACAATTGCAAACGTATAAAAAAAAATATGAAAAAAAGATTGACAAAAGTTAATTTTCCACTGGAGTCATATATATCAAAACTATAACGTTGATGACTTAGTAATGTAAATCAGAAGCAAACTGCAACTTACACAAATTTATCATTTATGAGTTCATAATTGTCGATCTCTTCCGCAGTTAAACAACTGCCATACTCTTGTGGTATGCAATCTTCTGAATCTGTCAAATATTCTGAAAACTTTGGAATCATGATTATAAATTCATGTGTCGGATAATTGTCGAAATGTTAGAAGTGTATATCTTTTATTATCATAAGTTTGATATCAGAAGTACAGTAAAGTTTGTATTGATTGTCTATAATTACTTAATTATATCCACCGCATTTTAAATCTGAAGGATAGTTGTCTAACTGACAATAACTCCACATCTCCTTATTTTTATACTGAAAACGAAAGATACTTGAATTTGAGTTCCTTGGTGTAAAAACTATTTGAAGGGTTATCGTTTTGCTTTAATTTGTGGTTTTATCTAGAAACGGGCATGCATTTTATGTTTTAAATTTTGTGTCTCGTGTAATGAAAATGTCGTTATATATTCCAGCATTCAATCAATTTACATTATATCATTTTTACCTTTTAATTGTTAATAAATATTACACTTAAATTATAAACTTTGTCAAAGACATACTATCATTATTTCTTCAATAAATTTGATTTGTAGTGATCATATGAACACATAATACGTACATTGATCTTCTGTCTCAGGATCAACACAAACAATGAAAGAGTTTTCAACAAATAAGTTCGTCTTATTATACAAATTGGCAATAACATTCCGACCCTGATCACTAGACCATGAAATCAATCTCAAAGAATTTTCTAACTTTGTGTTTTTCTTTACATGCTGTGAAATAAATAAATACACGAATAATGTCAACGGTTAAAATATACAAGTATACTAATTTTAATTCATCGCTGAACACATATTATTTGGCTTATTCATTCATACTGAAAAAAAGGTGTGTTTTTCTTATCGAAAGGCATCGATTTTCTTCTGAAAAAAGGCAAAACTTCCGTATGCAAATGGGTATTCCCTCACCACGAGAATCAAAAGTACGTCTTTCAGTTTGACATTTCTATTTGAAAAAAATTGCTACTTATTGCCCAAGTGTTAGGTATACCATGTATGGCATTGTTTATTATATGATCTTTGTGAGTAACACATCGCATTAACTTTGTTGATTCGAGCGTTGCGTCTGGCATACTGAATTTTGGTCCTTGTGTCTGTGATGGGTTTATTAACAACCACTTGGTCGATGCCATTGCTGGTGGGGGTTTCAGTAGTCAGCACTTCTGTGTTGACATGACTTATCATTGATTTTGTCATAATTATAAATTCACTGTTTACAAAACTTTCGACTTTTTAAAAGGCTAAAGTGTTTTCTACATCGGAAATAGATTACTTTAGTTGTATTTGGCAAAATCTTTCGGAATCGTGGATCTGAATGCCCTTCAAATTCGTACTTTATTTTGCCTTTTTATCTTTTTTCGATTCGAACGTCACTGATAAGTCTTTTATGGAACGGCAAATGCTCTTCCAGAAAATAAAGTTGTTACAATGCGAATAAAATACTTGATTGAGTGATTAATGTCAGAGTGAGTGTTACCAGACTCCAATGGCAAATATAGCATGCGTATCCAAGACATTATTACTTGTCACTCCGAGTCGACCAGTGTTTGCTCCTAAATGACACCTGCGTGGTAACAAAACAACACATACTGATATTTACAAGTTTTTGTTTGTTCCAGCCAACAATATAAAACAAAAGGTCCCTGCACTCAAGAAGAGCACGATATCTTGAGACCAGCTAGACGGTTAGAGAGGAGGGCTATAGAATTATAAAAAGGAAAAAACTAAATCATAGTAACAAAACCACTACTAAGTCCGCTTTTCACTACTACTAAATAACCAAAGCTTTCACTTTGCCTGTTCCTTCCAATAATGTCAACTTATTCTAATGAAAAGCAACAAATATTGTACCTCTAAGCTATCTGCTATTTTGATAATACTTATGCCATCAGAATTCGGTCCCGCCATCTGAAATAAACAGTACAAAAGTAAAAAAGGTCGTTTATTTCAATTATTAAAAGGAAATGATGCAGATGAAAAGGTACTACAAATTTAGATATCAAGGCTAAAGTTTGTTTTAAGGCGACAGTCATAACGTAGCATTATATTTTTTTTAAAGACTACTTAGATATTGTATCAATAAAAGCATTATGTATTCATCATACTAGTGCATAAAGAATATTTCTTCGAATCCAATTGAAGGGTAAATTGGTAGAATGCCGAGTATGATATTAAAATACGACAAATGCAGTATTTTACAGGTCTGGTAGATTAGAAAAAAAATTGATGGTGTAACAAAGAGTATAAAATATGATATGACATTTTCAAATATTAATATAGAAGATTATAGAACAATTTGGAAATATTAGAAACTTTTCATCATGATTGAATACCTTTTTTTATTTCAAAAACAATATGTATTTTCTATGTCACATGTGCTCAGTTAAATGACTTTTGAAAGGTGATTCATACATTTGTAAAGTTTGTCAGTTGTTGACACTGGTCTTTATTGAGGAACCCATCAGCTATAATTCTACCATTTTCAATCACTGTTTCGCTGAAACCGATCTTTTCATGAACTTCCATATGATATTTCTCATGTGTCTTTAATCTAATTTGAATTTTGGTCTTCTGGAAAAAAAAATTGATAAGAAATATTTTCAGAATCAACCCTATGGAAATAAGCATTTAAACTGACGATATAGAATTCGTACCATCCTAATACCTGAAATATCCAAGGTATATTAGTAAAGCATTTCAATACAGAAAAATAAAAGAAACGTGTCAGTCTTCATTATAACTATAAACAAACTAACGAAATATTTATTTAAAAAAAAAAAATAGATTTTTAAAATAGCAGATACATATGTATTTGAAAAAATACGAATAGTAACTGATACAATGATATAGCAACAATGTTATCATAACCTTTATAATCAGCGTAATGTGCTAAAATGAAAGATTTGAATACTGAAAATAAAATCCTTTTCAATGGAACTAAATTCTCACAACCCTGAAATGTGATGACATTTGGCGTATCTTTCCCCTATACATTTGATTTGGAAATTAAATTGAATTCTATTCATTAGTTTTTGTACCAGCAATATAGGTAAATATCTTTCTTCAGATTTGAGTTGTAACTGACCTTTTGAGGTCTTTAACTTACATGTTTCTTGTCGGATCCATCAAAAGTATCTTCATCCTCTCCCTGTTCTTTCATCTTATTGAGTTCGTCTCGTAAAAAGTACAACAACTTTAACATTTCAGTTCTGCGCTTCTCATATTCTACAGCTTCCTATAATTAAGTCATAAAAGAAGCTTATTAGTATAAAGAAATCATTTGCATGTGAATCGTTAAGTGAAAATACAAACTTAGTTATATTTCCTCTTTTTCTCCTTTCTTATTATCAGTAATAAATCCTAAATTATAAGAAACCTAGTCTTGCAGTTGATGAAACAGTGTATATTTGGGAAGGGGGAGGCGGGATTCCAAATTAGCCTCAATTTTAAGGTTTTGTCATTAATGTTAAGATTAGAACAACAGCCTTACCTTGAAAGATAGCTTGTAGCAAAAAGTTTTTTGCAAAGATGTCAAGGTGATGTTAAGTTTGAGTCTTTTCCTAATAATTGAATTTAACAAAAATAGGGTTTAACGGGAATTTTATTTCAATATGTGAATTTTGAAATGTGTATAACGTCACAATGACATACCATGTAAAGTTTTTGGTTCGTGTTGCTCAGTCTTTAGTTTTCTATGTTGTGTTTTATTTACTCTTATTTGTCTGTTGATCTTTTACTTTTTTAGCCATGGCGTTTTCAGTTTATTTCCGACTTATGAGTTTGAATGTCCATTAATTATCTTACAACTCTCTTTTATGCCCTAGTGAAAATAATCTTTTCATTTTTATCACCCCATTCATCAATCATATATAATCATTATTTTCAAAGGTTTGCAAAATTTGACCATTTATGGGCCACATTATTGGTTCTTACAGTTTCTTCTCCTTTACAAAAACGCAAGATACTAGTCGCGCGATTCTTCTACATACATTTGTAAGATTCACATGTAGAGCTCCTTTCAAAAAGTTGAAACCGAAATATAAAGGTGAGGAGCATTTTAAAAAACAAATATTCCAAAATGTTGTGCCAAATCTTGCTAGATCAGCTATGGCTGTGATAAAAATGTTTAGTGATTTGAATAATATTACATTTTTGGAGACCAGCTGTGGCTTCGACCAAGTGGTTGTAAAAACCCTTTAAAGATGCAAGGCTTATAATTTGGAAATCCAGATGAGCGTTTCGTCTACATAAACCTAATCAGTCTCACTCGAATTAAAATAATTAGGAACAAAAAACACTATGTTTAAAAGCATTTAAAACTAACAAAAATGGTCAAAATGAGGCAAAAGCCATTTATGACTAAGCATTCGAAGAACTCAATCTTATCAACGATATACACATGTGAAAGAATGACCTGAACACGTTATTCAAATTTTGACAATGCTATCTACTAATTTTTTTTTTTGCTTTACCTGACGAGCTTTAAATTGTTCTTGATTATATCCCAGTTTTTTCATGAAGTATGTTTTCTTGTTTAAAGTGGCCTCGTCGTTTGGATTGAAGACAAGATATGTAGCTGCGCATTCCACGGCCTGTTCATCGTTTCCACCTAAAACAGATTAAAAACTACAAAAATATGATGGTACATTTTTTTAATTTTACAAACATTGTGCCAATCGAACGAATAGTACTCTTAAACATTGTTAAACACAAAAACATATCTACAAACAAAAGTTATCCAGCAAGTCAGTGTAGAAGCACAATCTTTTGGTCCAATGATATCTTTAAAAACTAACAGTCAAGATAAGTTTTTCGACCGGTCTGATAATAGTTATACTGTCATTCGGTATATCGAGACACGTGATCATGATATTATAAGTAAATGTGGTAAAGTAATGTGATTGGATCGTGAAAGATCTGGAATTGAATGTGAATGCAATAAAAGAGAGGCAAAATATACCAAAGGGACATTCAAACTGTTAAACTTGACCAAATGCGATAGTTTGAAATGAAAACAATGTTTCCAAGTAAGCTTCATTTGGGTTTTGCTTTATCTTGTTTTGGTAGGGTTAAATGTTAAAAAACTATTTGAATATTCCGGGATAAAAAAACGAAGATTTTCATTTTTTTTTACAACACATGGTTTCGAATAATTTGTGATGTAGTCATGTGTTAGATAGATGCAGTTAGTTTATAAGTTTGTGTCTGAAACTTAAAAACAGAAATAGGAAAAATTTATCGTTGTCAATATAATGGAATTTTATGCGACTGTCATACAAGTGAAAGGTTTAGCTAGCTATAAAACCAGGTTTAATCCACCATTTTCTACATAACAAATAACAGTTGTTATCCGTTCGTTTGATGTTATTGACCTTTTGAATTTGCCATTTACTTAGGGACTTTCCGTTCAGAATTTTCCTCGGAGTTCGGTATTTTTGTAATTTTACTTTTTACTCACTTTTATGATATGCAGTTTGTAGAAGATGATAATGCTGTCCGACAAAATCTGGTAAGTAATCTGTATGTATTATGCTCAGCTTCCTTTGACATTTCAGTTGACATTCTAACACAGAAATATAGTGACCTACAAAAGAAATAGAAAATTCAGCAATCGAACTGCGTCAGAATTTGGCCTTACTCACATGTAAACCAAACAGTTTTGAAAATACTCTTAAATGATCAAAAGAAATATTCTACTTCCCAAAAATCTTTGGCGTCTTTGTAAGATTTGTATGCAGTCCTTGACAATTATTTTTTGTGTTGTTTTTATTATTTAAGTAAGTAATGTTATACAATGTATATTTATAATGTAAGTTCATACTGATCTCATTTGTTGTCACGTTAACCAGTTATGTCTGTATGGGATGCTCACATTATTTTTGTCAATATAACGGAACTACAGTCAATTGTCATACAAGTAGGAGGTTAATTGTAAATCGATAAAGAAGAGACAAATCAAGATAACAATCCAGAAAACTCAGGGAATCGCATGAACTCCAAAAGGAGCGAGACTAGCATCGTCATCAGTGTAAGCATCTCCTGTTATGGATGCATTACCCCTTATGCGAATACATACTAAGTCAAAATGTCTAAATCGGGAAAGTGACACAATCGTTATTTGCATACATTCGTCGTCGAAACTGCTTAGCTAGTGTCACAGAGTAATTATGTATAGAATTAAGGTGACAGTAGTTAACCGATGTTCTAATCGAGTGAATTGATTTAAAAATCCCAAATCAAGGTAACAAACAAAAACTGTGGGAATCGCATGAACTCCAAAAGGAGCAAGATCTGATGCGGGAAAGTTCTTCTTCTGACAAATATCATTTTTGATATTTATTTTTTTATTTCTTTTAACGATATTTCCTGTAAGAGAAATTTTTTGCCTAGTTGTTGTCTCTTTTCTTCGACTTTTTGTTTTTAATTTTCACTTTGGTATCCTCTATTTCTTTCTTTTGCAGGTGTTTCATTGGGACTTGATTTTTGTGTCATAAGAGAAATGACATAATCTCTTTTATTGCCTTTCCTAATCTTGTTTGTTAAAATAGACGTTAGTGCTTGTAGTTCTGTCTCATCACTCTGTTCACAAATTATCAATTAAAACTTTCAAGGCGATTCAAACTCAATATCTTTGCTACCTTTACAAAAATCTGATTGGAAATTTGCTGTTTGAAAAAAAAAATTACCCCATTTATGCCTAGGGTAGAAAAAAACAAAATGTTTCGAACGATTTTAACTTTCTACGAACAGTTGATTAATCGAAATGACCACATCAATGGTATCATATATCAGCACAGGGGTACTAAGCTGGTAATATCTCTGGGACAAAATGAGTGGCAATGTCCAAGTAGTTGTAAAAACTCGTATCAACGATACCAGACTTATCAAGTGCAATACACGCGCAGTTCTTCTGTGTTAGACTCATTATTGGCGCTCAATTAAAAACAATTTAATGATGCAATCTCTTACAAAGTTATTGAAGAGCAAAAACGTCCAAAAGGTTATGCCAATTAAATGATAAATGCTCAAATGGACTATTTGGTTGGTCATATCAATGATGACGACACTCTGACCAGCTATTATATCGATCCGGTAATTGTAAAACCAGTCTTATAAGTGCACCCGACACTCTTTTTGTCTGCATAACAATTATTACATACATTCGAATCAAAACAGTTGGAATACCAAATTAAGCCAGGTTGTCATTTTTGAATATTCAAACTGTATTCAGTTTCATTTTTATATCTAAAAGCATGAAAGTAAAGACAAATTGTAGGGAAAACTAATATTAAACTGTTAACGTATTAATCTAAATAAATGAAAATAATTCAAATCTGATTATATATATATTTATTCAAAAGTCGCGATCACTAAAATATTGTACAAAGAAATAAGACAGTGCATCTGTTATTTTTTCATCGATGTATGCTCGGATGTTTCGTTACCGCAATATGTTTTGCCAATAAAAAAAAAAGTCATATAAGCGGGAAGTTTGGCTAGTCATAAAACCAGGTTCAACCGTTTCTATGTATATTGGCGTTTATTTTTGTAGCAGTTCAGTGTTTCTGTTGTGCCGTTGTTTTCCTCTTATAGTTGATGTGTTTCCCTCGGTTTTGGTTTGTGACCCGGATTTGTTTCAGTTAAATCGATTTATGTCTATTGAACAGCGGTATACTACTGTTGCCTTTATTTATTCATCGCCAATCAAATGTTGACAGCAATCACGGTAGCGTTCATCTTATGGTATATTTGTTGTTTCTATAAAATCTTCATATTCGAGATTCGTAATTTGCAAATTGGGTTACGGCATTGTTTTTCAATTCGAATGATTGCCTAATAAAGTTGTTCAAACACACATTTGTATACAAAAAAATCAAAAATTTGTAGAAAAATTAACACACCTATCACTAAATGATGGGAACCTGCATTCAACAAGAAAGCGATAACAAAGGCATTTAATCTTAGAACGTATGATTCTAACAGAGGAGGCGGAATAAGATTGTATCTAACTTGGAAAATTTCGATTTTACTACGCATACATTAAAAATGTTAAGAAAAAAATTAATGCTTATTACGATATTTTATTACAAATACAAACATGTGTTAAACGAATGTATCACATGCTGTACTTATCATTAGTTAAACATATTTTTACAACTAATCCCGATTTAAGCATGACTTAACTCGATGTATTCATCCGGTAAAAACTGTTTTTATTTATGACGTCCTTATTGGAAAATATTTCCCCACATGTTTCAAATGTAACTTGCCAGCAATATATGGAATTTTCATGCGTAGTAAATAATATAATTTATTCAAATCAAAGATCATAGGATATTAAATCTTAAATTCAAATTATTTACTTGCTTTTGATTTAAGACCTATAAATAGAAAAAAATACACAAAAATAGCATTTTCAAATATGCAACACATTTGTTTCATATTTCCTTTTTCATATCGCTATCTTTAAAGTTGTTTCCTTACCCTACGAGAACCAATAATTCTTTCCTCCCTTGTTCTCCGTTTTAGCAAAAAAAGCTTATATCAAGAAACCAGAATGTATATATTGAACAGAATATCATCAAGCTACAATACAGTATCAATAAATAATACCAAACTAATAATTTAGTATTACAGAAGAGCATTTATTTTACGAAAGACACTAATTGGTTAACGAATCAAAACAGTTAAAAAGCGAAATGGAAAAAAGAAAGGTATATTCTATTTTCGTATTGAAAAAAACCCTTAGAATTTATACAATGTTGATGTTTGTTTTTAAAATGTATATATTGTAAATTATTTTAACATTTAGAATTTTTTTATTTACACAAGTGCTATAAGGAAGACACTTTAAAGTACGTTTGAAAAGTTTTACAGTCACGATCATAAATTTGCTGACCGTTACAGTACTTCGATGTTTCAATTTAATCACTGTTATATTTACCTAATATCCACTTTTTGTCTAGCTTACATTAATCAAGTTTCGTCATGACGGCTGAAGCTTGCATCGGCAGTTCTTCGTGTCTTAAGTCTTTTTACTATTTCTGTGCTTTGTGTGCTAAAGAGTCAGGTCGTTTCCGTTTGCTAAATACAGTTTGTTCTTATGTTTTGCTGTTACACCACTATTCCAGGTACAAAGAAAGGATTGAATGCTCGCAAACATATTAACCCCGCAACATAATGTATGTGCCAAAGTCAGTAGCCTGTTATTCAGTGGCTGCTGTTGGTTTCTGTCTGTCATATTTTTTTTTCGTTTATTGTTTTGTACATGAATGTGGCCGTTGGTTTTCTCGTTTGAAATAAGAATTTTGTCCATTTTGTCATGTAGGAGTCATATAGCTTATCATACAGTATGGGATTTGCTCATTGCTGAAACTGTGTGGTAACCTATAGTTTCTTACATCAATCTCATATGTCTCTTGTCGATAGTTGTCTCATTTAGTAATCATTACATATCTTCTTATTCAATTTTTTTATAGAGCAGACGATGTTACCCTGTCAATGCATCTAATCTCACTGTGATAATAGTTCATGTGATTTTGATAATCTTTAATCATCAGAAATCTTACGGTATCGCGCTATTGTAAACGCAGGGTCAATTCCTCTGCTGGATGACTGTCAGCCTCTGGGGATATCTTAATTTGAGTAACTAAGTACATTTTGCTATCATGAAAAAAATGATTTTGAGCTTAGCTGTATACAAGTTGCAAGTGTAATTGAAAATCAAGGATCATTTCCCCATCCCAAACTGCTTTCTTATATAATTAGCATGATATTTTCCTATTTTTAGCTCACCTGGCCTAAAAGGGCCAAGTGAGCTTTTCTCATCACTTGGCGTCCGTCGTCCGTCGTCCGTCGTCGTCCGTTAACTTTTACAAAAATCTTCTCCTCTGACACTACTGAGCCAAATTAAACCAAACTTGGCCTAAATCATCCTTAGGGTATCTTGTTTTTAAAAATGTATCCGATGGCCCCGCTCATCAACCAAGATGGCCGCCATGGCTAAAAATAGAACATGCAGTTTTTGGCTTATATCTCTGAAACTAAAGCATTTAGAGCAAATCTGAATAAAAATGTTCATCAGGTCAAGATCTATCTGTCTAGAAATTTTCAGACACATCAGACAACTCGTTGTTGGGTATCTGCCCCTGAATTGGTAATTTTAAGGAAATTTTGCAGTTTTTGGTTATTATCTTGAATAATATAATAGATAGAGATAAACTGTAAACAGCAAAATTGTTCAATAAAGTAAGATCTACAAATAAGTCAACATGACCAAATTATCAATTGATCCCATAAGGAGTTATTGCCCTTTAAGGTCAATTTTTCACAATTTTTCGTAAATTTTTGTAATCTTTTACAAAAATCTAATCCTCTGAAACTACTGGGCCAAGTTAAACCAAACTTGGCCTAAATCATCTTGAGGGTATTTAGTTTTAAAAATGTATCCGATGAACACGTCCACCTACCAAGATTGCCACTATGGCTAAAAAAAGAACATGGGGGTAAAATGCAGTTTTTGGGTTATATCTCTGAAACAAAAGCATTTACAGCAAATTTAACATCTTTTCCTCTGAAACTACTTGGCCAAATTAAAAAAAACTTAGACACAATCATTATTGGATTATTTAGTTAAAAAAATGTGTCCGATGACCCCGCTTGCCAACCAACATGGCTGTCATGGCTAAAAATAGAACATAGGGTAAGAATGCAAGTTTTGTCTATTATTTTGAAAACCGTTATGAATAGAGAAAATCTGACATGAGCAAACATTTTCAGAATGTTGAGCTCGTCCAATTGTCCATAAACGTCAAAATTGTCAGACGACTTCTTATAGTAGTTATTGCTCTTAAATGACAAATTTTACCATTTTTTTCATTTTTGCCTATTATCTTGAAAACTATAATAGATTTTTTGCAAATATGATCAGCAAGACAAATTCTACAAATAAGTTTGCATTGTCGAAATTGTCAGCCGACTTCTTATTAGAGTTATTGCCCTTTGGTGATGATTTTTACCAATTTTATGTGTTTTACATGATAAAAAATTATAGTAGAAAATAGACACTTAAATTACAAAAATTATCAGCAAGGCAAGTATTTACAGATATAGGTAGTAGGCTATCACTCTTTATAGGAGTGATTGCCATGCCCTTAAATAAGGATTTTTTACCCTCTTTTGTGTTTTGAGCAAAAACTTAAGAAGATACAGAAACTAAACAGACTAAATGATCAGCAATACAAGATCAACAGAACAGGGATTTTTGTCATGAGTTCTATTCTCGTCTACAATGTTGGAGAGTGTCCTTTGTGAATATGCACATAGACCAAGGTGAGCGACACGTGCTCTTTAGAGCCTCTAGTTGTCGTTTTGTGGTAATTTAGCCGGTTGTTTTGAATAAATAGATATTTTGGCTTCGAGAATCTTTGTTGCATTTACTAAATTGAAGAGGTCAGTCAACGTCAGTTAGAAAGCAATATGTCATGGCTAAGGCGAGAAACAGTAATTATGTATGCACTTACCAGCTATAGCCTGATATAAGTTTTGAGCAGATTGGTGGTTAAAATGATCTTCACATTCTACTCGGCACCTTTCTTCCTCCTTATAGTATTCTTCAGTAGCAATTTCAATCCATTCTATTACTTTAGTCCAGTCACCCTGATCAAAAGCCTCTTCACCTTTGATTCTATATTCCTGGAGCAGACACAATATCATTTTTGGTATTAAGATCTATATATGCATTATAAGTGATATCCTCTATCCTCTAAAAAATTGGAAAAGTTATGCAAAAGTCAATCCAAAACTCATTCTTCCGATGGCACAATTACAGAAAAGTTAACTTTGCAAAAAAGCTTATGTTTTAAAATTTCTTTATAAATACGAGTGTGATAATGTTGTAATTTCATTCTGAATTATACAATGCAAATCTTTAAACTGTCTATTTTTGCATTAAGTGGAAATATAAATAATTTGTTTATCGCAACATGACACGGAATATTTAATAAATATTTACTCTACACTGGTGCAAGTTTTATACCTATTATAAACTGATCGTTTTTCCTAATACCTGATACTTTTTGGTCTCAATATTCTTGACGTCTTCCTCGTTAACATAAAATTCGTCTCTGTAAGTATAAATACTAGCAATGGTTTCCTGATCTGTAGGATTCTTAATGTAATACGTATAAGCTGCACATGATGCATCCGTATACCTCTTTAACTGAAATTTTAAGTTTGTTTAAAAATTTTAATTCGTAAAACGAAAATATGTTATTGTAAATCATGGTTTATGAAGTTTTTCAGCGTGAATCAGATATGAATGCTAAACATTTCTACAGATATGTACCGTATATACATCTTATTCCATCTACTTGTAAAACGCTTCCCTTTACACAACTGGTGTATATATATATATATATATATATATATATTGATATTTATAGTAATTATGAATATAATATGTGTTTTCAGCCGTGTTTCACCTTCGCTGGTGATCCAATGAATGGATCTGTCGTAAAGTTGTCACTTGTTTAGACGTACTTATCAAATGATTATTTCTGTGACTCAATCTCACGATCCTTTACAGATATTTAGCATCCGCAATCAATTCCATCTTCATGCCTAATATATCATGTACTGTGTTACAGCTCTAGAATCTACTGACAAGGAAAGGTAACATTAGGCCACCGAAAGCTGAATTTTTAGTTCAGTCTAGGTGGCCGAGTGGTCTAGAGCGCTGGACACAGTGCAGGCGGTGTTGTCTCGAAATCCCAATAGCATGCATGAGTTCGAATCCCGGCAAATTTGCAGATTTAACATTGTTGTGCTGATATTTAGAGTAATTATGAATATATATATATATAAACTTCATACGCAGGTGGAATATTCCACATATAAATAGAATTTTTTTTTGGGAGACAATTAAAATCATCTCTTTTGTCGTACTGTTTATTTCCTGATTTTAGTCAAGACATTGAACAGACCTAATTGTATGTTTTGTATCTTTTGTTTCAAGTTCAATAGGGTAGACTCCATCAAAGTTTGCACTAAACTTCAAATTATTACATGTATAATCATGACATCAAATGATAAAGGTATCTCCTTATCAGTCTTTTTCAAGCTTCTGCTTGACGTCTGCTTCATACGAATAAAAAAAGGGGGGTAACAGCTGCTTTCCATGGGAAAGTCGACTTTCTGTAGAGAAATTTATTCCATGATCAACATACACAAAACTTGGCAAATATTTATTATTTATGCAATAAATAACAGTAATAAAGAAAATCTAGTTGACATGATCAATAAATATTATTTCTAACTGAAAAAAAAATAAATAAATACCTCTTCATAACAAATCCGAAGATGTCTATATGGTATATAGCTTTCAAAATCTGTGTCGATCTCTTCAGAATTTTCAATCTGGTCATACCCTAATTTATTTTCTTGGCACTTTTTCGTACACTGGGATTCTTTAACTAATTTTGAAAATGACTTCCATTTTAACAAATCATAAATGTCATTTGTGGTATTCAAGTTTGGATTATTAACAATCTCCGATCCTTCACGGCACTTTAATCTACAGTTGAAAACTGTTTTCTTATATAACTTCCTGCTCTCGATAGCTTTTTTGAGAAATCCAACACACTGAATCCAATTTCCTGATTCTAAAGCTTTTAATCCCTCTGTGTATAAATGATCATACGTCAGTTTAGGAAACTCGCTCAAACTATTTGTTTTCTTCAAACAGATAATCAGTATAAACATCAACATTTGTAATGCCATGGATAGTAGTTCTAACTCTCTTGCAGAAATGAAGGCGACAGTAGTTTACCGATGTTCAAAACGGACGGGTATTTACTGTTTATGTAAACCTAAATTGAAAAGACTGCAACATTTCAGATGTATTAATCGGTTTCGTGGTAAAGGAATATTACAACGTATCAGCTCACCTGGTCCATAGGATAGGCTTATTGTTATTGTATTAAATCTGGTCTTGTGTTTATATACATTTTATAAAATTTTCAATATTCTACACCAGATATGCTCATGGTCAGAACTCAGAGAGCTAACCAAATATAAAAAAAAAATCGAAAGACAGAACCATAACAGATTGTTATAAATCGGTTATGGTTATTCAAAAGAAAGGAACAACAGTTATGGACTATTTTAATGTTTCGTTGAAATTTTGTTGCTACAGTTTACTGTGTTTATACCTAAACCGCTATCATTAAACTCATCATGGATACCAGGCTAAAAATAAAGCACTTAAACTGGTACGAAGATAATACAAGAGTATGGAAGGGATTGCGTTTCAATGCCAGTGCAAAAAAGTGGATAAAAAACGACTCATACCTTAACTTTTTGTGTATGTACCTAGTGTATAAAATTTCAGTTTCTTCTATTTTAGCCTTTGCAATTACACAAAACACTGCCAAAACTAATACCAATTCATCATTTCGGTACCTGTTCCATGATTTGATTGACTAATATCAAGAAGTGTTGCTCTTTCAATAGGTATTTAAAAGAAAGTTTTACTTTCATGGTTAATCTATCAATCAGGAAAAATGAACGTATTACACACTGCATGCATAATTATCCATTTAGTTTACAAATTCAAACAAATCGAAAATAAATATGGGCAAAAGAAAGAACGAGACCAAAACAGAAAATCCCAAAATGAGATAGTTTCACCATGAACTATCACAGAGTGATTTAGGGATTTTAAGAACAATTTTACGCCTGGGTATGACTAAAAAGTGAAATAACAAAAATACCGAACTCCAAGAAAAATTCAAAACGGAATGTCCTTTACCAAATGGCAAAATCAAAAGCTCAAACACATCAAATGAATGGAAAACAACTGTCATATTCCTGACTTGGTACAGGCATTTCCTAATGTAGAAAATTGAGGATTAATACTGGTATTATAGCTTTCTTAACCTCTCACTTGCATGACAGTCGCATGAAATTCCATTGTATTGCCAGCAATATGTGAACTAAACAAACAGACATAATAGGTAAAAATATCAAAAATAGGGGTACGGCAGTCAGCATTGTGTTATAATCTTATTCACTATAAAAACAAACAAATTCGCCAAGAAAGAAAAACTAAATGGCATATAGACAAAGCACATAAGCAAAAATGAAAGACAACAATACAAAAAAATTACAACAAAATAACCCAATGGCGAAATGTATAAGTACCGAGCCACGCGAAAAGTATATTACCAAAAATGTACTAAACAGTAAAGGTAAATAATTTGCAAAGACAGAAATAAGCATCAACAATCTTCAAACAATATGGCTGGTAGACGATAGTATATAATATCAAGCAATAGTCATCGCGCGTAAAAATTCAAAGTTGTCACCACAGCAAATCGATGTTTAACAAGACCAATACCTGGTCTTGGCCTCCATCGGTGCATGTAATTGATTGAGGTAACATTATATTGTAGCATAACTGATCATTCCCTTCAATAATTGAAGCGAAGAAAAATTTGACAATGAGCGTTGTAAAATTTTAAACTATCGGCAAACAGGAAGTGGCTTAACTGCAGATGTTAGAATTGCTTACAAGCTACAACTCATCATTATCAAACTGGAGAACAAATGTAAAATCATTCCCTTCCATAGAAGCCAGGACAAAGGACAAGGTACGATAAGGCCCGTTGTTGGCCCCCCTATTTTCTCATTTTCTAAATTTTGTTTTTGGAAAGCTACTTATCACGTTAAAATATTCCCTGAGGTTTGAAGTTTGTTTGGATGAACTTCAAAACCATTAATTTCAAAAAATGGGTGAGGTTAGGGGGGTAAAAAAGCATCAAAAACGTCAAAAGAAGGAAAAATAACGATTTTTGGCCATTGTTTCTTAAAATTTAATAGCGTGCGCCTACGTGACCCGAAAAAAATTATGGCGAGTTAGACAGCAAAAACAGTTCTCATGACCTTGGAATAAAAAAATTCCCGGGTCACATTGGCGCAGGCACTAAAAAAATAAAAATTTGTTGTAAAATCACCTGCAAAATGAATAATAATTACAATATTTGAATAATTACAGAAAGTTAACCCCCCTCACCTCACCCAGTTGCGAAAATTAATGGTCTTGAAGTTCATCCAAACAAACTTCAAACATCAGGGAATGTTTTAACAAAATAAGTAGCTTTCCAAAACAGAATTTGAAAAATGAGAAAATAGGGGGGCCAAAAACAGGCCTTATCGTACCATGTCCTTTGATATGATTCTTTGTACATTGAGTATTGTAAAATTTTAAACTATCGGCAAGCAGGAAGTTGCTGCACAGCAGATGTAAAAATTGATTACCCGCTATATCTCATCATTATAAAGCTGAAAACGAAATATTAAATCCATTCCTTACATAGAATCCAATGAAAACTTGACGAAAGTTTTCTATCCAAGTTCTTTCGAACGGACGGAGTCAAGCGGTTCGCGACGCAGGTAACAACAAAGAAGTATTTTGTTAGCAGTTTTCTTCTTTCTGTCTTCCTTTTTTTTTGGTAGGTTAAACTAATTTACCTTTTATTTACCAAAATACATCCATGTTACAAACTGTACCAGGTGAGCGATTATGAATTACTAATTGTTTCTAATATAGCAAGTTTAGTTTATGTAAAATTATTTGCTTGAGAAGCTTTCTAGAAATAATATGATTTGAGAATGTTTAATGTATATATGGCTTTATCGATCTATGGTTTAATAGTCATTATATCAAACAAAAAAGGCACAATGCTAATCCGAAAAATGAATTTTTGATTTGTTTACATATTCTTTGTAACATGTGTAAAGTGATCGAAGATATTTATGTCGAAAATTTTATCGACGATTATAAAGGATTTGTATAGCAAAATTATTTAACCAACAATGCCTTGGCTAAAAGAATCCCTGTGCTCTCTAGAAATATACAGGAATGTAATCAAATTGGAATAGTTTATAAATTGGTTTATTTAGCGCAATTTTGGCTGGTATTTAACGGGTGGAAAAATACAAATGTTGATAGGTACTTAGAAATATTCTGTCATGTGTATATGTTACAGTGAATTCGTATAATCGGGATAATGTAGGATCCCAGATCTTTTAAGGATTATGCATAATCACTAAAATCGTTATTGATTATACATAATCCTTGAAAATGTTTAGTGCTTTTACATAATCACTGAAAATGTTAAAAATATTAACAAACTCACACAATTGATTTCAGGAATTTTCAATAATGCAAAGATCATTTGTTTGATAAAAAATACATCAAATATAGACAAATTTATCATCCGTATTTATTACTAAAATTATAAAATATCCACGCACTATCTGGTCATTCAGTTAGATATTCGTCGGTTATATCTGTGCGATGTTATTAAAAGACAATGAAATGATCCAATCTTCAAATCCGATTTCTTTAACAATGTGGTGCATTGTTTGTAAAAATATGGAATAAGAAATGTACTGATGTAGTGTTGATTTCAGTTCTTTCTCGTAACCCTGTTGAATCAGGTTTTATGTAATGGGCATTCACCTGTTAGTGAAGTACTCATAATGTGAAGATGGACTCATAATGTTTACCTGGGGTATAAAAACTTAAGTGTTTTGAATATTTTAACATTTTATAAACAGCAAATTTACAGAAAATAAAATGTCATGTCGGCACAAAAGTGCAAAGGGCTGATACCTTCGAAAGGAAACCTCCTCAAACAGTGGAGTTGACCCAGCGGTTGTAAAAGCTCATCAAATATACCAGACCAACAATGTGGTACGCCAGACATGTGTTTCTTATTCATAAGACTACTCAGTGGAACTCGAGTCAAAAGTAAAATAACAAAAATACCAAACTCAAAGGAAAATTTAAAACGGACAGACCCTTATCAAGTGGCAAAATCAAAGGCTCAAACACATCAAACGAATGGAAAACAACTGTCATATTCCTGACTTGGTACAGGCATTTCCTTATGCAGAAAATGGTGAATTAAACCTAATTTTATAGCTAGCTAAACCTCTAACTTGTATGACAGTCGCATATAACTCCAATATAATGACAACAATGTGTGAACAAAACAAACAGACAAAATAGAAAAAATTGTCAAAAATAAGGGTACAGCAGTCAACGTTGTGTTATTATCTTAAAAACAAAATGAAATATAGATGAGACAATGGCTACGATTGCCCCCAAAAAGTAATAATAAGAAATAATTATTGTTATTTCCGAGACTAATTGCCAAAAAATAATTTCCTGACAGGCACCCGATTTCATACGGAAATTGCAGGTAACAATATTATAATTACTTATTGTTACCTGCTGGAATTGTTACCAGCAAAATATATTCAGACAGGGCACTGTCGGCATAACATTAAATTTGCTATTTTGCCGGCTCTATTGAAATATTTATATCTACTTTAAATTGATTTAAAAGTTACATACTTATACAAAATTTCCGTAAATTGGTGTTCTCAAAATGTGCCTGGACAATCTTTGCTCTATGTACATGTATAAAATACATGTAATGAGAAAGTGAGTTCTGTTTAATTTTATTAACTACAATAGAACAAATCAAGTCCAGCACAAATGCGACAATTGGAGACCACATTGGTTTTAAGAAGTTAGAGCTTAGGAACTGAGATGACCGCTTATGTCAAATTCGAGGTATAAGTCTAAAAATGAGGCGGGAGGGAGCCGTGTCTGTTATTTCTTTAATTTCTAGTTCTGGAGGATATATCAATTGAACCCAATCAGAAAAGTTTGGATTGTTAATGGAAATGTCATCATTACAGTTGGAATGCCAAATCAAATACAAAACAGACATTACCCTAAAAGGTTAAACTGATTACTGAAGACACAAATTGAAGTCAAACG